GTTTCAATTTTAGTAACTTCTTGTTTATCACCCTTGACCTTCTTGATGACGCGAGTGCGAATCTTCTTTTTTATTGGTTTGCCATCTTTGGAAATAGACTCGACAATACGCAGTTCCTCAGGAAGTTCTTTGACTTCTTCTGGTTGTTCCTCAATGGTTGCTTCTTCGACTGTTACTGTGGTGTGTGGTTTCTTATCGTCTTCTTCAATGGTTTCAATTTTAGTAACTTCTTGTTTATCACCCTTAACCTTCTTGATTACGCGAGTGCGAATCTTTTTCTTTGTGGGTTTGCCATCCTTCGAAATGGACTCGACAACACGCACTTCCTCAGGAAGTTCTTTGACTTCTTCTGGTTGTTCCTCAATGGGTGCTTCTTCGACTGTTACCGTTGTTTGCGGTTTCTTATCGTCTTCTTCGACGGTTTCAATTTTAGTAACTTCTTGTTTATCACCTTTGATCTTTTTAATTACGCGAGTGCGAATCTTCTTTTTTGTGGGTTTGCCATCCTTCGAAATGGACTCGACAACACGCACTTCTTCAGGAAGCTCTTGGACTTTTTCTGGTTGTTCATCAATGGGTGCTTCTTCGACTGTTACCGTTGTTTGTGGTTTCTTATCGTCTTCTTCGACGGTTTCAATTTTAGTAACTTCTTGTTTACCACCCTTCACTTTCTTGATGATACGAGTGCGAATCGTCTTTTTTGTGGGTTTGCCATCCTTCGAAATGGACTCGACAACACGCACTTCTTCAGGAAGTTCCTTGACTTCTTCTGGTTGTTCATCAATGGGTGCTTCTTCGACTGTTACCGTTGTTTGCGGTTTCTTATCGTCTTCTTCAATGGTTTCTATTTTAGTAACTTCTTGTTTATCACCTTTGACTTTCTTGATGATACGAGTGCGAATCTTCTTCTTTGTGGGCTTGCCATCCTTCGAAATGGACTCGACAGCATGAACTTCTTCAGGAAGTTCTTTGACTTCTTCTGGTTGTTCATCAATGGGTGCTTCTTCGACTGTTACCGTTGTTTGCGGTTTCTTATCGTCTTCTTCGACGGTTTCAATTTTAGTAACTTCTTGTTTATCACCCTTGACCTTCTTGATAACACTGGTACAAAGTTTCGTTTTTTTGTGTTTTCCTTGATCTTTTGAGAGCGTTTTAATAGTCGTAATTTCTCCTGGTAATTCTTTTGCGTGTTCGGTTAATTGTGTTTCTTCAGATGGTTGTAGCGTGAGGTTTGGAGTATCTTGTGTGTGTTCTGGTATATGAGGTGTTTGTGTGGTATCTGTGTAAAAAAATGATTGTTAGAGGGCGTATCTCTTGTAGTGTCTTTTTTACTGTTTGTGTATTATGTGTTTCTTGTAGGAATTTATATTGAAAGGGGGCTTGAAAAGTTATACGCCATATGAAATAAGGTTAATATTTTTTACGAGAGTTTTATTGGTACTTACCCACTTCATATTTTACCGTGTGTGAGTGAGGTTTGTCTAATATCTCCAGTACATGTGTTGCTTGTTTGATGTGATGTTTTTCAGGGTGTATTAGGTCTAAATCCTTAGTACTTGTGTAAACGGGTGTCATGTCAGTAATAAGTGTTTGTGAAAGTTCAGTTAAATTAGTGTGTGCTTTTTCGTGTTTCTGCCATTCTGTGAGCAATTCTGTTGCAGTTTGAATAGGTATGTCTTCTCGTTTCACAGGAATATATTTTTGCGGTGATTCGGTTACGATGGGAGTAAGTGTTGGTGTTTTACATAACTTTGGTAAAATTGTTTCAGTTTCTAATATTAATTGCGTTTCACATTCGTGTTTAGGATTGTTGGACTGTATATGTAGATAAGCATTCGATAATTTTGGTTTCGAAGTTATTGTTGAGAAATCTGAGGTAGTGTCTGCTATGAGCTGCGTGGATTGAACAGCTGTGGTTAGTTCACATGTTGCGATATCTGTTTTATTTGATTTAGTAAGTGACATATTATCTATCGATTTGTTTGAGAGTGGTGTAACGTGTTCAAAAGCTTCAGTGCTGTGGGCACTGTATGCATTGTGGGAATGAAATAACTTGTTAGCGTCAGCATATGGTAATACTGGATGCTGTTGTAAATCTATAACATTTTCTACAGGAACAACTTGATGTTCTTGAATATACGTACTCGTTGGTGTGACTTCAGTGTGGGCTAATTTTTCAATTGGTTTTAGGTCTTCTATACGTTCTGTGCTAACCGTTGGTTGTTGCTCGCTTGTGGTAGCAACTGCTTTGGCGTTAGCTTCTATCATGCTGCTGGCACGCTGCTGATTGAAATCATTCGAATCCAGCTCATTAGCATTTTCAAAAGGCGTTACGCTGCTTACAAGTAATTTCTCCTGATAACTATGTCTAATCACTGACGCTGATTGCGTAGTAGTTGGAGAGAATTCTAGAGCTTTTATACTTGTGTGAGGCGAAATTTCTTCAGTTACAGAAGCTTTCATATCAGATTTTGAAATTGATGGCTTTGTTGTTGTTTCATTTGGTTTAAAGTCTCCGCTTTCCTCACCAATATTTTCAAATGCTAGCACTGTAGTAGTACGTAATGCATCTCTTGCATCTGTTTTAGATTCTGCATGACTGAATCGGTCGAAGAAGGCTGGCTCAAGGTTAGTGCTTTCTTCATAAGCAATAGTAGCTTGAATAGTTTTAGCTTTATTTGATGGCATTTCCTGCGTAATGGCAGCATGTTGTTCCGCGCGTGGCTTGATCTCATATGTTTCAGTTATAGTAGTTAAACTTAGATTTTCTTCTGTAATAGCAGCGCGCAAGTCTTGGTGGGTTAAAATAGCTTTTTCTTGCTTTATATCAGATTTTTCCGGAAGTATGTCTTCTTTACCAAAAGTGGTTTGAGTGCTCACAATTTGCACTTCTCCTTCGTTGGGAGCTATTAGCACATTGGCCATTTGGGATCTAAAAGGTAAATATTCCTTCAGTTTTGAAACATCTTCGCACGCTGTCACTTGAGTGACGGTTTTTTCAATATGTGCGCTTTCATTTGTGGAGAAAGCGCTATGAATACAAGCGGAAGTTTCTGTAGGTATTTCTGCCTCTTTTTCTAGAACTAAGGGTTTATTAATTAATTGTGCTTTACCGACTGCTTCAGTTAGACTTGGTCGGACAAACTCTTCATTAGTTGAACTTTTCTTAATATTATCCAGCAGCTCCAACGCAGTTATTTCTGATATCGTAGTTTCTAGTTGCGAGCCTTCCACGTAAGCTTTAGCTCGCTCAGCTCTAGGAGATAACTCTGACAATAAACTTTCGCTTTGCATTACAACGTTAACTTCTTGCAGTTGACTACGTTGCAATACATCTTCTGCCTTACATTTGGCTATAGCTTCAGCGCGAAGTTTACTTGGGGCGTCCATAAGTTTCTCATATGGCGTGACTTTAAGAATCTGAGTTTCCGTTAACATTCCTGCAATGCAAGGCTTAGCCGTGTGTTCACTTGGTAGAAAAGCGCTTAGATCTTCTTCACTTAGTAGAGTCTCGGTAAGGGACTGAATATGCACTTCCTTGAAACGATCATTTAAAGTCACCGCAGCTTGAGACTTCTGACTTTCTTTCGCATCAAATTCTGTAAGTTTCTCCAAAGGTTGCACTTGCGTTGTACTTATTTCGTGGCTAGTGCCTTCGATATTTGGTTTTGCAACGATGCCTGTTAAAGGTAAAGTTTCAATTTCTGACGCACTCTCTTGAGGCTTAACCTCTTCAATCGTAGGTGCGCCATACATTTGGGAAGTGGTTATTTGGCTAATTTCACTGAATGTTTTTCGTGGAATACTTAGCATTCCCTCAAGTTCGGCTAATTGTTGTATTTCTAAAGTGACGCTGTGGGCTAATTCGTGTTCGACTTTTGCTTGCACAGGTTGTGCTATGTTAGATCCTTGTACCATTGTTGAACTGTCCAATAGTTGCGGTTGGTCAGATGTGCCAACATACATTAATCGGTCATCAGTGGTTTGTTTAATGTTCTGAGAGGCGAGATCGAAGTTTTCTAGTGTATCAACATTTTCCATTATAATTGATTTGTAAGTAGTCGGAAGAGGATGTTTATCTGACAATGTAAGTTGAGCTGCTTTACTTGATGTCATAGCTTCAGGCAGTTCTTGCTCTTTGCTTAGTAAAATAGGTGTTTCTTCTATTATTGTGCACTGTCGCAACTCCACAATTGATTCTGTAGGCTTTCCTTTTGTTAAAGGCTGTTGTACTTCCTTTGTTTTAATGTCTTCATAAATCAAAGTTTCCGTAGTGATGGTTTCGCTCAATACATCGCTTTCCTTCATGGCTTGTGCTTTTTTGGTATGAAAGTCTTGTAATTTTCCCATACAGTAATCGGTTTCGACGTTCTCATGGACAGGTACTTTTAAATTAATGTCAACTTTAGTGATCTGGGCTGTATTTGTACTTAGTGGGAGGGATAAAAAGTCTTGGATACTTTCCAATACATTCGTTTTCTCTTCCAATGCCGCTACTCCACTTTCCACCTCCAAATTAGCCATTTGCTTTTTGTGATCATCAGCAAGAGTCAACTGTTTTTCAGTTTCATAAATTTGAATACCTTGTACTAAAATTTCATTGAAATTTCCAGAACCTGAAATTTTACAATGTGTTTCCAACGATGAGTCATATTCTAACTCTATCAAGGAGTCACAGATTTCTTGAATATTTGTTAACGGTGATTTGTGAGCATCTACGTCGAGTCTTTCCTCGGCCTTAGCTGCGCTTGGAATTTGTTCTGTTTTTCTCTCATTTTCATTTTCTGATGTAAATGTTGTTTCAATTTCAAGAGCCATTTTGTTTTCCGTTATAGTCATATTAGTGAGCTTTGGAACATCCGTTAATTTTGTTTCGTAAGTATCTATGGGTTCCAGGCTTTGTATTTCGGAGTGAACTATGGGAGTGATTGCGTGATCTATGCTATAAGTCGCTTGCTGGTGGTTCAATTCGAATGGGTTGAACTCTTTAGGATAATCTACAACTTGATTGCTTGTAGTTTGAGCAACACCTAACGGGGTAGCTGTGGATGGAATTGCTTTTTTAGTAACTGGTTTATCTTCTGTTGGCAAATCTATTTCTTTATCATGGGTTTGGACCAAAGTGTTTATCAACGGTTCAATTAGATCCGTTTCGAACTGTGTATAGTGACCTTGAGGTTGGGTTTCAATGATTAATTTTCCAGTGAGGTCTAATTTTGTTTGAATAGTTGTTTGGGTCGCATGTTGTGTGGTCATATTAAAATTAAGTTTTACAACATTAGGCGCAGCGAATATCTCTTGTTCTTTAGAATGTTCATAAGGAAAAATTTCTGTAGTTTCGTAAGATTTGAGAACTTCTTCGCTCGGTTTGGGCGTAACCAGCACAGTATTAGGTTGTTTCTCCTTTATATGTTCCGCGCTTCCTTCAGATACATTAACTTCGTAGATTTCTATTGAAGGCTTGTTTAATGAAAGCTCTGACTTTATTTTCGCCATTTCAACATTTTTCTGAGTAGGTATTTCATCATGCGATTCCATAATTACTGGGGCGGTGATAACTCCAGCCGAAATTGCAAACACTTCTGGTTGCGCTTTGCCAACGTGAATTTGTGTTTCTTCTAAGCAAGTTGTCGAATTTTGCGTGCTCATTATTTCGACCTGAGCAGCTCTCATGTCTGTAATTACAGGTTTTCTATCAGCCGTATGAGGCGAAGGCTGAGTAAGAGTTTGTAATTCGCTTTCAGATTCTACAGCTTGTTGAGTTGAAACGCTCAGAACATTCGCAGTTTCTTCTACAGTAGCTTTGGCATTATCCTTTGCAGGTGTAACTGTTTTAAGCTCCATCTCCTTATCTTGCAAGAGAATTTCCGTAATATTAGCTACATGCCCCCTATCATTGAGTTTTTGTCTTCCTTTTTGAAGCTCAGGCGTCGACAGGTTTTCCTCTTTAGCATTTTCGAAAGTTTGATCTTGCTGAGTTGCTGCCAAATAACGCGATGGTATTAAGGTTTGTTTAATTATATGCGTCGGTTCCGTTTCTGGATTTACCATCTCACCTAAGCTTTCGGATGAAGTTGTTGCACTTACTTCGTTAGCTAGCAGTTGCGCGGATTCACTGGAAACCTTTGCAAGAGTTGCCGTGGTCTTAGAAATAGTTAAGTCTTGTGGTTTTATTTCATTAACAAATTCTTCCCTGCCGGTAATATGTAAATGTCCGGATATTTCGATCTTAGCTTGTTTAGCTTGTTCTAAATAGAGTAGCTGCTGCTCTTCTAAAGGGCTTTGCATGTCTGCTTGTTGCGTCAAGATACTGTCCTGTAGCACAAGGCGGTCGATAGCCAATGCAGTCAGCGTAGGCCTTGGTGTTGGAGTCTCTGTTACCGTTTCTGCTATTTTGCTTTCAGTTATCTCTAAAGGCAAACCAGTCTCCATTAAACTACAGGTAGCGTTAACAGTATATGGTTTGGGAGCGGGCATTAAATTGCCTTCCTTTTCAATAGCCAAGGGTTCCGCAGTTGTATAAAACTCATGTTCACGGAACTCAGTTTTGATATATTCGCTTGTGGGTTGTTCGCTCAGCGGAAGCTCTCGTACACTGTCGTGAGAAAGAGTTTCTGAAATTCCTATTTTGCTTAACATGGGAGTTCTATCACCAACTAACTTTATGTTTTCAGGCTTTGTAATATCTGCTTTCTTTTCTCTCTCTAAGCTAACTGTTTCCAATATTTCCACGGCTTTATTTTGGGACAATTCAGCTTGAATTATTGGTGTTATTTTTGGGGTTCTGAGAACACTGAGTGGTTCAATAGTATCTGAGATCATTATTTCTTCTTGTTGTTGAGCTTGCAATGGTGTTATGTTGAACTTAGCATGTTGATCTGTCTTACCTAAGTCAGGAATATTTTCACTGGCGCTTTCCCCGATTAATGGGATTGCAACAACTACAGACTGTAGTTGTTTCATATCTTTAATAGAGCTAGCTATTGCAGAAGTAATTTGTAAGGGCACTACCTTGCCTGCCATTTGTTCTGGTTGAACCTCATTGGTTTGAGGAACTGTCATTTTTATATTAGTCAGCGATTCACTGACTTTTTCTTTTGGTGGTATGAATTTTTTAGCACGCTGTTCAGTCTCTAGAACTAAAGACTCTTCTTTAAAGATGCTATTCTTTTGTGGCGTTAACTGCTTCATAGCTCTGGCAGACTTGGGCTTAACCGAAGGCCCCATAAGTGGAACTTCGGCAAGAGCAGTGGATTCAATGATATCTTGTGGTAGTGTTTGAGCTGGTAAAGCTTCGTATGTAGGTGTGGTCAAGTGTTCAAAACTTTCGTTTGTTATGCTGGTGGTGACATCATCGAATGCTTGTTTGTATAGTGGCTGAATTTCTGGTTCCTGTTTTTGAACTGTATGAATTAGCTGTTCTTGTTGTTGTTGCTCGACCATAGTTTCCTGTTCTTGTTTTTCTTGTACCTGTTTTTGTTGTTTTTTGAGCTTTCTCAATTTTTTGTCCATTTTTATGGTAAGTTGTTCTGTTTCCTGTATGACTTGTTCATGTTGTTGCACTTGTTGTATAATTTGCTCTTCAGCTAGAGTGGTTCTTACGGTTGCAGCTGATTCTGTGGATTGTGATTATTTTTTTTATAAGTAAATAAAAAAAGGAGAAACAGATATTGTCGTGCTGTAAACGTTTACAAAAATGAACAAAATTAAATTCCGATATGATGAGTGTCAACTAAAGAAGAGGAAGATTTATTGGTTAGAGCTAAAGAGACTGCAAAGGTAAATAAATGCACGAAAGTAAATATGTACACAGAGAAACAGATAAACAAATATTTTGAAGAAAGTATTGCATTTCTTATAATTCTAAATCGTGGAAAAGTGAAAAGACTCTGTAGTAAAACTATCAGTATGATTATCAGCGCTTGTTTTATTTATACTTTATATCACTTACCTTAATCAGAATGACTGATTTCCTTTTGTTTTCAATTATATATACATATATATTTGTTACTATATTATAATTTGTGCAATATATTTAGTGGGTTAGCAGGTTCAACGGATGTGTAGGCAGAAAATAAGTCGAAATCATAGCCGATCGATAGCTGCAACAAAGCTTATATGATAACAGAACAAATCAGCGAGAAAGCAATTCAACGGCAGCTAAGCTTATTAAAAAAGGAAAAAAAATAAGAATTCGCAATTAATTTGAAAACAATTGAGAATATATCGGTAATAACCGATGTAATTATACCCTCACCTTCATATGGGATTAAACACTGTATTTTAACAAAGAATTCCTTAATGTAATTTGCAGCTTGTCGTGCAATGAACATATGGGATCATCACTTTCCTACAACTAGATTGAAGACACTTTCAAGTATGGACAGGTTCTTGATTCCTGTGGTAGCCCAATTCACGTCATTTTATGTTTCTTACTGCGTATTATTTGAATTCTTAAAAAGGTTGAAGGAAGAGGTACATAAGTTGTAACTCACATATTTTCAATTGGTTTTTACGGTCCAAATTTGATAGCGTATTTTAAATACACTTATAATAATTAAAGGATTGAAGGACTCTCCATACAATTGAAAATTTTAAAATATATTTGATATCATGAAATATAAGAAATTAAGCACAAACAATTAAGAGTTTACGATAGAAGGCGTTCCAGTCGAGCCATTGCTTGTAATTAAGAAAACATTGTTGAGTATAAATATTTTGCTCAAGAGATAAATATGATTCATAAGTCGTAGTAAACTGTGAACTGAATCTCCGATTCCAGTATGTTAATTGAAACAAAATATATATAACAACGTTATAACAATGAATAACGTTTTTCGGCAAATGGAGTGGCATGTTCCAATCTAATTTTGCTAACAGACAAAAATAATTACCACATTTCGCTCTGAAAAGTTCGATATTTAATCTGCTCTCTACAAAGAGAGTAGATGCTAGATCTCTAAAAATTAGCCGATATATTGCAAAGCAAACAGCAGTTAACGAGCTGCTGCGGTTTATAACATGTTAGACTCCGACTTGTGCTATATTTTCGACAATTAGAATGATTGAACTTTAAGTGAATCGAGTTTGTCTCAGCACACGAGATGTGTACTTATTTAACGCTTTATATTAGACATGATCGGGTGGTTCTATTATCGTCTAGCGGGTTCGTTTTTTTTCTTATTTATTTCAGTTTCCTCCTCTAAGGCCTCTAAATGGCGTTATGTGAGTTTTAAAAATATTTTTAAAAACAATGCATTCCAAGTTTTTGAGTGGGAGCTATATAATTGTAATAATTCTGAAAAAATGACAATTAGTCGCCGAAGAAAATTTTTTGTAATTTGTTAGGGTCTCTATTCTTTGACTTAGAGAGGTTGGATGCTTTGTAAATTACCTTGGATGAAAAATATCAGGTAGGAACGTGAGCATAATTTTTTTGATCGTTTATGATCGCTATGGTAATCTGATCTTTTTAATTACTGTTTACTTGTATGCTAGAAGCAGCTTGTTTTGCAATCTAAACTGTCCGGGGTGTAATGAAAAAGACGCGTTTAAAATTTTAGTTTTTTGTTTGCGAACTTGTAATTTGGCACTATAGATGGGTAAAACAGTTCCAGCTTACCTCGTTGTTCGCAAATATAAAGCAGTGAAGGTATAATAAACTCTTAGGTTAGATTAGAAACGCCGTTATGGCAAATGCTACTGAATAACACATAAGAATATTATCAACACTTTCCTGGAGTTTTTGTGTTTAGTTTTTTTATATTAATTGTCATTAATTGTTTTTTTTTTTTTTTTAAATCATTTAAGTTATTATTATTTTATTTTTGCAAGTGTTGTTTATTTCATTATACAAAGATCTTCAAATATAATGGATAACGGATTATGTTCTAGTAAAGGTTATTATTATTATTTTAAATTTTGAAAATTTGTTAAAAGTTTTTGGTTGGGTTCTGTTGTCAAATGGTTTATTATATAGTGCGGTCTTATCATTCTGAATCTTCATATAGCAAACCTTCTTGAACTATGACAGTACGCTCTTCAACGATGGTTTCCTCTGTTTAGTTTAATTTAGGTACAGGTTTTGTTTATATTCATACAGGTATTAAAGCATTTGAATGCATATATGAAATAAAATTTTGCAAAAAATAAAAAAAAAAAGAAGCAAAGCATATATAAGTAAGTTGTAAAGCAAATATATCAGTCGTATTTCAAATGCTTACCGATTTTGATATGTGTTACAGCTTCACTGCTTTCAAACACATGAGTTGTTTCTATAGTTTTCTGTTTGAAAATTCATTAAAGTAAATTAATTTTTATGCTTACAGAAATTAAAACACATCAAGCAACAAAGCAAATATTGAACTAAATGCTATGAAACTAAATGCTATTATATTTTTCCCATTCTCGTTGTAGGTGACAATGTTCAAGAATGTATATAATGGAGTTTATTGGTAAGTAATTAATTTATATTTTGTAACTTTCAACATGCGCTTGTAACAAACTATGTTACCGTTACATTACATTTACTTCACGTGTCGAATATTTAAAAAAAGGAATGTCTTTGTATAAAAAATTGCAAGAAACCTTTCCATCTATTTCTTCGATACATCTACCAAGCCGTATACGATTCTTAAGCGTTTGTAAAGTCAAAATATATACATGAAGGGTTGTATATATATATATTTTCGATCAGCGTGAAACTACGAATTAAAGTAATTAACTCTGCCTTATTATATTACTGTTTGGGCTTTCCTGCATACATGCTTAATTGTACTGCACGAATTAAGTTTCTAAAAAAAAAATAAAACGTGATTTTCCTTAAAATACATCGATAACGTCTGAAAGTTTAAAGCGACGAATATTAAAAATGCTTCACCAATAAATTATGATCTATAACAGCTGTCAAGCTATCAATTTGGATTACAACATTTATCTGAGGCATTTAGTAATTAAGTGTGCCGATGGGTTTAATAACTTTTATAAAAGGGTTATCTTAAAGTGAATATAATCCTTTTTCTTGTCGCTGATTACTATGCCGTCTCTATGGGAAGTAGACATCTTTTACCTAGAGCCTGTATGCCTTATTTAGATTAGGTTAAGTTGAATCAAAGTGATGTGCCATAGGACGCTTCTAGAAATTAGAACACTTTTCACTGACCTAGAAGAAGTGGGTTAACTTGTAGAGTTGTCCTTATAGCGATTTCTTTATCTGAGTCTAATGATACTTTTGCTATTAACTAAGAATAGACCTTCAAGATCTAATGTAAATGTGATGTTGCGCTAAATGGCCTGTATTTGAAAGGTGCAAAACCGTTTTTAAGTTACGTACTGTAAATTGAATTGAATTAAGAATTTTGTGTTTGTATATATTATATGCGCCTTACTTTTTAAACCACGGATAACTTTTATGGAAAAACTCAGTATATTCAGATATACTGAAGTATTTTATTAATTTTGGATTAATTGAAATAGTATATCAGATTTCCAAAATATGTTATTTGAATGTAAAATCGTGAGTGTGGAATTTTGCAATTATTAAGATAATCTGTAGTAATTTATTAATTTTGGAAGTGTTTGATTGAAATGGCGCTTCGGATTTCCAAAATATGTTATTTGAATGTAAAATCGTGAGTGCAGAATTTTCCAATTTTTCAGAGCGTTTCACTAAAGTAAAATTTAGGGGCCCGAGTAAAATTACCGGTTTCTGAAACCCCCTTTGCATTGCTTTTGAAAAAATAATGCTCTCTAACAATAATGAACGGCTTTCGGTAATAGTGAAATCAAGGAGCATGTTGTACACACTGAGAGCAAAATTCATCCAGAATTGACAAAGCTGAACAACTTTTATGTGCTTCTAAATTCTGCCAAGCTATTCAGTTAAGTCCACTCTGCCTTTTTCACTTCCATTCAAAGGGTATCAAGAACGTAATAACTATCATATACACTCGAAACACATAAACAATAATCAAACCTCTTTTCCAGATATCTTCCAGTCTTGTAGAATAAAATCTTCTCGAACAAATTTTCTTATAACTGTCTCTATTGTTATCTCACAAGTTTCAATCATGCGTATGAAGGCCTTAAAACCTACAGTGGCAGCCAAAACGGCTTCATCCTCATTCGACGATTCGCTTAGGATTTGTGTGATTAATTCTTCATGTCCTTCGCGTTCCACTAGTTGTACGAGAGCAGCTTGTGATTCAGGCTTTTTCAAAGCAATAAAAATGTTTTGCTCATACATAAAATTGATTTCGAGCGTAGTGCAACCATAACGTATCAATAAACCAATAGTAGCCAAATCACGTAAAGCCGACTCGCCGATACTGCCGAATGATGCTGAATTCATTGACGTTAACAGCATATTGATTTCACTATGTTGCTTTATTTCTACCATGTCTTCGACTGTAATGGTTTTTTGAGAGATCTTTGTGCGAAGGCTGCGTATAGTTTCGCTGATTTCCACAGTGGTAGTGGTGGTAATTGACGTGATAGTACTTTCTTCTTTTTCAATAATCTCTTCGCTTTCCTTCACCGTTTCAATGCTTATGTGTTCTTGTTGTGTGCTTAGTAATTCTGCGTCAGCAATTTTACGATCTTTAACTTCCATTACTTCGGAAACACCACTTTGCTCTACTAGCACTGAAATCGGTTTACGTACTTTAATAATTTCCATCGACGTTTCGACTGTTTCCGCTGGTACTAACTCAACGGCTGTGGTGCTAACGGTTTCAACTTCCTGAACGCTACCTTCGCGAGAGCTTGAATAAGCTCTTACAATTATTGGGGGCGCAAGTTTTTTAATGGTTTTCTTTTTGCCTTTAAGCTTGCGTCCTGTAGTAGTGGCATCGACTTCTTTAGTAGATGTCGATGATATATCAAATTTCGCACGACTTAAAGTCATACCGATCTCATTAATAAATTTACAAGTATAATAACCGACGTCTTCGGCGCTAATATTCATTATTTGCAGAAAAGCTTCAGTTTCTTCAACTATCATATGATATTTATTAGATTCCCTAAGTTGGACATTGTTAAAATACCATTGCACATCTAAAAACAAATTTTTGGTGATTAATTTTGAGAAGGAATTCTGAGACCACAAAAGGATGTTGAAAGTTCGTGATCGTGCGAGAGGAATATATCTTTTACAATACCTGGTTTGGGATTGCCGGCAAATTGTACCTTAAATTTAGCCGTTTCACCTAGCGCAGCACGAGAATCGCGCATTTCATTAATAATTGAAGGCGAACACTTAGCAGCTATAAGCAAGAGATTAGATAGCACAATTATTAAAGAGACTATCTCAATCGTTATTAACATATATACAAAAATTTAAATTGTTTACTGCTACTGTTGCTACTTGTACGAATAACACAAAACATATGCGTTTTATAGTTGTTTTGCAAGAGTGCTTTGAATGCTTACTTACTTGTTTGTTTGGTGTATGATTAAAATGATAAAATTTTCGAGGTAAAAAGAAATGACTTAACATCTATATGTGACACTTTGCCCGAAAATATGGTTTACATATTAATTTCTTCCTTGTAGAAATAATCAAATTAATTAATTGCAAAATAATATCATTTGTAGTGCGATTTTAAAAATGTAATAAAACCACGCGTAATACGCGCAACAAATAAATTATGTTTGAATTGTTTCGAATTTGTTCTTATAACAAATGCACTAAATGTGAGAGAAAGCGAAGATCTGCTCAATCATTATATCGATCATATATCGTATCGCAATTATTACATGTCGATGTAATTCAAATCATGTTTTTACACGAGTTTACCATGATTTTGGTGCAAATTTTGGTGTCCTTTTGATTTATATGCTATTGTGATCAAAGGAAAAGATATTTCCATCTGGAAGGTATAGGCCTCACATTTGACACAGTTGTACACCTTGAGTTCTAAGCGATCTGAAGTCATCGCGAGACTACTAAACGATAATAAATGTGAGGATCTGAAAGCTAGGCAGGCGAATAGAAAGACATAGAGAGACATAATAAAATCGATTATGTCATGCATGTTTAGAAGGATTATATGTGGTTTCGGTAGATACATACTTGTAAGCGATCGAATGTAAACAGATGTAATTGAAGAACTCAGTTTGTTTTTTTTTGAATAAATAAAATTGAAAAGCTTATATTTTAGCCTTGTTTAATCATATAATTTTTTGTGCAATGTAAACCGTACTTTCGCAGATATACAATATCGTGTCCCGTTTTATAAGGAAAAAAAAAAAAACGTTAAAAGATAACCGTAGGCAAAAAAAGAGACAATAAGAATAAGAAAGAAGTTGAGATGAAGGAAATTTGTTTGTCTGTTTCTGTAATAGATTGCGATAATTCTGTTAAAGATTTGTTTAGAAGACGACAAAAAAAAAAAAAAAATCATGCGTAGCATAGCGGTACTGCTGGAACCTATTGTTAGCAACGGAGAGGAAGAAAACGTTAAAGGTATAGATATGAGAACATGTTAGGGTTCTGTCGTTCTTTGCTATTTATGAAATGTTTTAAAACTGGTTAAGTACCAAAAACAAAAGCAGTGAAGAAGCGTGATCAAGAGAGGTCTAAAACTCCTTTGAAGTTTCATAAAAAGCGTTTTTAGGAAAAAAAAGCATAGGAAATTTGCAATATATGATGAATACGTTGGCTATGGAATTTCCAATTTAAACCAATAGTGTCAGAATTGGTTCGATACTTGAAGAATGCTGGAATAATAAATTTTATGATTTTCTTAAAAAAAAAAAAAAAAAAAATGGCGTAAAACTTTTTTCTAATTACTGAAAAAAATGGATTTTGTTTTTTTTTTCACTTTGTTTTGCATAAGAGCTTTAGAACTCGGTTACATTTGGAAAAGAAAGACAGAGAAAGAGAGAGAGAGAGAGAAACAGAGAGGAAGAGAGAATTGTAAGTTTCTGGAATTGCTAGGCTGATGCCACACATATCACTTAATTTTTTGCGAATGAATTACATACAAAATTTGTCACAAAAAGTTTGTAAAAAACAAAATCACATGGGGAAGTGTTGTAAATAGACAATCGTTTTTGGTTTTTTTTTTTTTTTGTTTTAATTTGTATTAAAACACATACACACAAAAGTTTTAAGATTACTGTTTGTCAGCACACGTATGGTCTTTTGTCTTTCATTCTCAAAACTTACCTTTTAAAGCCCTTTGCATTTCTTCCATATGTGTCACCCATTCTGGTTTGCGATAATCTTTCGAGCCAACAATACCTTTTTTTAATAAAGAAAATTTTTAAGAGAAATTTTTTAAATTAATTGTTTTCAAAAAAAAAAAAAAATAAATAAATAAAATGAAAAAAATTATATTATATTTCAAAAATCGTAAATGTGTAAAAGTTGTGTGTTGAAGTTTAAACTTAAGGTAAGGATTAATATACAGAGGACAGGGCTTTATAGGAAAAACTTCTATAACATTTAAAAGCTGCAAAAGAATTGATATTAGAAATATATATATCGAATCATAATTATAATCTTCGTTACGCCATCTGTAAAATATATTTCGAAAGCTATAGAAGAGACAACATTTGAAAATACCTTCTTCTACTGCTAACCAAGCAGTAGTCACTGCTACTCCTAACGGATTGTAAGCCTCAAAACTAATTGTGCCCACATCATCAGGGTAAACATGGTTAATAATCAGCACTGATGTGCCATCTTCGAAATTCTCTATTTGATATTCCTCTGAAGGAAATATTTCCTCATTGTCGCGTAACCATTTAATTGTCGGTTTAGGCTTGCCAATAACTTTGACTTCCAGTTTCGCTAATTCACCCTCTTTGGGTTCGATTTTCTCTGGTAATTTTTTAATGAATTTCGGTGCTTGTTCGTCAATCGAGATCGTCTAGATAAGAAAAATAAAAGAAGAATATTAAGTTGTTTTTTTTTTTTTATTACAAATTCAATTAAATCAGATATGAAAGTTAGATGGGAAGAGTCGAAACAGCCAAACGCTTGATATCTTAGTGTGTGTGATAATATAGTGTAATATATGCTAAGTTGTAAAGAACCGGACGACCTTTTCAAGTAGCAATCATTGAACAGGATAGATGGGGCAAACAATCGTTAATTATCAATAAATATATAGAACCTAAACGAATTGTTTTTACATCTAGTCTCTTATTATGTAGAGACACAGAGACAACAAACAAAAGCGTAGCATCTCGAGGACTGGAATAAAGAAAGTTTTGCTAAAATCGGTAAATATTTTGCTCCTTGTCAAAAGACATCAAAAAGACTAATACCATCAACACGTCTTCACAATTCCAGTTTTCGAAAGGATATATGCTCTGATGGTCAAAAAATTACTATTTTATTAAATTTATTATCCACGCTTCTCCATAAAGGCATAAATGAGGTAAATGCAGTTCAAAAAAATCATTGTTTACTCAAAATTTTTTTGCCTCAAATGCTTGTTTTCCTTAAGCTGGTTATTCTTCGTTGAAAAGTGAAGGCCATGTTGCATTGAATGTCTGTAGTTATGCCCGCCTCAGATAAAAAAACTTATACATTTATCAGAACCTTATGAGGGTGAATGCGAATGATAGCGTGATCCTTCCGCACAATAAACAAAAAATCACAAGTTATTACTTGAAACAGTGAATAAATGTGAGTTTCTCATTTACTTGGCACAATTGATAGCTTTAATGAACTTTCAAGACCAAAAAACAAATTTAAGCCTATTGACCCTAGAAATAGGAACGTTAATATGCAAAATTAGCCAAATTTAACCAGCGGGACAATTTGACAAGAGTGATTAAAACAATAATCGAATTAAATGCAATCCTATAGGACATGGAAGGTTAACAGATAGTCAACCCCTCGATGATTCTTGTCGTGTAAAAGTTGTCGAACTTTATCCGCTTGTCAGTATAAATATAAGTTTGTCAGGAACGTGTTTTTTTTTAATATTTTTTTGAATTTGTGATAGATACTAAACCTTAAAAAAATATCAAGATGAATTATCTTTTATTTTAGATCCTGATTCATGTCATTTTCGTCTAAAAATGATTTCATATAAATAACTGCCTCTGTATTTATGCGAACATTCAATTCTGTTTAACCAATTTTTGCCGCTTTTTACAACAGTCTGCTTTTATTTCATCAATAGCGGGAATAATCTTAGTAAATGTGTGCAGTGAATGGGTTCATTTAGAACTGGTGGTTTATTGGAGTAAGCCGCTGCTCCAATATAACTCCAAAATCAAAAGTTCAATAGAGACTTCGCATGAGATCGCACTTTTTTTTGTAATAAATTGATGATGCCACGAAATGTATGGCATGTTGCAAGATTTTTTGAAAGGTATATGTCGCCTAAGTTCAAATAATTTAATAATGAATAGTCATGTTTCTGTAGCTGTTCCGGGTAACTGCATTTTCGCGTTAAAAAATAACACTTTCAGCCCACAAATCACACCTAAATTTTAAGTTTTATACACGTATTGGTCATTATTTACGAAGCCATTTAACCGAATATGGGCTTCATTCCACATGCACGAAACGGAAACGTGGATCATTGTTTTTGTTTTAACAATTGTTATTTACTATACCACTCTATATATAGTGTATCCCATAAATAAGGGTCATCTGAAGAATGTATTGAAAAAAAATTTGGGCCAAATTTGAGTCAGAAATGTTGTCTATTTACGTTTACTTTCGGACCCACAAAATGAATGACTCTATATTCATAATTCATGACACAGTTCAAATTAGCAAATGATTATAATTTGCCTATAAACACCTATGTTATAATATATGATTTATAGAAGATGCTGACCCAAAATAGATAAACATTTTCCCGTCCAAAATGAATGCAATATTTTACGCATTTTTGCACCCACCACCAAAGATTGGACTTTTCGCTCATAATACCTTGGAATACGGTTTTCAGACCTCTTACGTCCTAAACATTTCGATTCTTAATCTTTTTAGCCCTGTTCATTTGTCCACTTATCGATTTGCTCTTTCCTCTCTGCCTATCGTCCATTATTGAGAAGCTTTTCGAATCCCGAAAAATTTATGGACAAAGCTGAAACAGTAGCAGATTAAGTTTCAGAACAAGGCTGGAATAGGCAAAAGAGTATAATTTTCACTTGTCAGTGAGTAAATACTTATTTAAAACTTAAGAAAATATGCGCAAATTTAAAATTCGATATTGCAATAATGACTAACTTGTAACAGAAATATTAAACTAAGCTTCAATACAAATATTTTCTTATGGTATTTGCAAGGTTAGTTCAAGAAAAAGTTGAAAAGACCGACTGATACTCTTACAATTGACAAAAACGATTTTAGTAAATTATTATATCGGCTTGAGATGATGAATTTCCAAGATTTACGCTAAAGTGATTATAATTTTTTAAATATTTTTTCACCATAAGTATTTTAGTTTATCGTCGAACCAATTTCACTTACTTTATCTATTTGATCTTCCTCCGAAGCACTAAGTACTGTGATTTCAGAATCGGGGATATATTCAAATGCTAAAAAGAGTTGAAATGAATTTGAATTAGACGAAAATTTGCATATATTGTTTCAATGTTTTTTAATGCAAGCGTTTAGCAAACAACTTAAATAATATTTATAACCATGTCCATGCTCATTCCAGTAACTCTTTCTAAACTATTATGGCATTAGTAAAATGACTGGATTTAAAATTTTTTGTGGAAAAATTAATCACAAACTGTTACTAAACTGTAGACTTTTTGATGGTTTTAACTGTAAATAGGAATTATGGTTGCAACGCTATAAAGTGAGAGCGGTGTTTAGAGTGTTTTTCAACTATATACCTTGTATGTTAACAGTTGTTCTTGTTATTGTTTCACCAATTTTATTGCTCGCTATACATCTGTACTCGCCATCATTTTCAGGGAATACCTCGGTTATGTGCAGTTGACAAACGCCGTCAGCATCTTGTTTTATAATAATTTCTTTGTTCTCTATAATTTTCTCATCATTATGATACCACAGTATTTTTGGTGTCGGCTTTCCAACTACTTGGCACGTCAATAGCAATGGTTCACCGTCCATAACTTCTATTGGTTCGATTAGTTCTTTAATGAAACGCGGAGATTCAAATTCCAATGCCGCTTCCTCTGGAGCTTCTTCTAGTAAATTAATCGTGGCCGTTGTCGTAACTGAACCTCCTACATTTTCCGCTCGGCATGTGTATGATCCAACAAACTTTTTCTCAAAGTTTTCTATTAATAAAGTCGATTTGTTGTCTTGGCTCATTGTACGAAAATCTGTACAGGTTTTTATCGGTTCAGTGTGTAAAAACCATTGAAACGAGGACAATGGCTCGGATTCAACTACAGTTTCTAAAATAGCTACTGTATTTTCTTCAAAGAACATGGGCTCTAAGGCTTTAATAAAGCGTGGGGCTTTTATCTCCTGATCAGGTGCTTGATCACTGACTACTACTGAGCCGGAGGATTTGGCTTCGCCTATTTTATTTATAGCACAAACCTCATATTTACCTGCACGCTTACGTGTCATATTAATTATTTTGATTGTGGTCGTAGTTTCAGTAGTTTCAATTGTAACGTCTTCGTTTATTTGAATTTGACGACCGTTTCGTAACCAACTAATTTCCGGTTTTGGCAAACCATCGTATTTGGCCTCGAATAGCAGAGTAGCGCCATGTGGCACTACTTTAGCACTTAGTGGTGTTACCGTGGGTGCCTTTAATAATTCCACAGGTTTTTGCTCGATCTTATTTACAACGGTTGCATTGCCTACAGCACGGCCAAATTCATTTTGCGCCTGAATTGTATACATTACCGCTTCGTTTCGTTGTGGATTCATAATTTCTAACGCGACATCACCTGTCTTTTCATTAAAAAACATTTGTACGCTTTCATTAGGTACGACTTCTTCGATGCCCTTGTACCATTTAATCTGTGGTGTTGGCTTGCCTATTACCTGACATGTCACTGTAACTCTTAGGCGTTTGGGGGTCTCCTCTTCAGTATACTGTATTTTCAGTGATTTTGTAAATTGTGGTGCTAGGCCTTTCTCTTTTTCTAGATTTAGCGTAATAGTGTTTGAGAAGTGAATTAGTTGTTGGGGTCATATAAAAAATACATTTGTAATAGCGTATGTCTTAAAACTAAGGAAGCTAAGGGAACTATGTACAGTCTAAAGGGTTGTTGGAAATGTATTTATTGTACAAGTTTTTCATAATAAGCATCCATATTTGAATAAATTTAAAAATCGAAGAACCCGAAGAAGGACGGGCTTAAATATATTTTAAATTTGCACTTACCCAATATTACGTTTGCTCGACTAGTGGCTGCTCCGCCCTCGTTTTTGGCTTCGCAAGTGTAAATACCGACTTCGTTGGGTGTAACTTTGGCAATTTTCAGCTTAGCGACATTTTCTGTCACTGTCATTTCATATTTTTCCGAAGCAAATAAGAGTATGTCGTTAAAGTACCAGCGAATCTCGGGGAAAGGTAAACCTTCAATTTTGCATTCAAGTACTATTGGTTGATCGGGCACGCACATACGTGGTCTTAATTTTTCTGTAATGCGTGGTGGCTTACTTTCCTTTTTCTTCTTCTCAACTGGACGGTGTTTTTGTTCCACGATTTCAGGGAACGTGGTTTCCTCTACTTTTTGTTTGACTGCGCCTTGTGAATCAACTTCCTCATCGACCATTTTATCCATTACTTCTTGTACACGCTTCTGTGTAATTAACTCAAGCTCTGGTAATGGTTCACTGGTATCCAATACAACATGGCTCTTTTCTTTCTTGACAATATGTGAACTAATTTTCATGTCAACATTTCGCTTAACTTCCTCAACGTCGACTTCAATGAGCTGCTCCGTCGTTATATACTGAGGCCGTACTTCTTCACGTTTTTTCAATTGCAAAGTTTTCTGGGAAATTTCTTGTGTAGATTCTTCTTCCACAATACTGTCTTCTTCTGCCTCTATAAGCTGTGGCTGCTCCTCAAATGAAACTTCTTTCAAACGTTTAGTGCGTTTCTTGCGTGCTTTTTCTTTATTTGTAGGCTGTTGTTCGCTAGCCAAAACTTCTTCTTCTGGTTGAACTTCTTCTGCTAAAGCAATTTCTTTCACTTCCTCAATCGGCGTTTTTTCAACTTGATCTTCTTCGGCTATTGGTTCAGCGAATGGTTCCGCCAACTCTTCATATATATCATCTACGGAAGTATAAGCAGTTTGCAATTTAGGTTTCTTTTTCTTCTTTTCTTTTTTCGCTTTGCCAGGGATCTCTTCTTTAGGTTCTGGTTTTGCCGTAGCATCGAAATCGGTTTCTTCTTCCGATATGTCATCTTTAGGCTTTAATTTTGGCGCTTGTATAATTTGATCTGGTTTCTTTGATTCCTCTTTACGCTTCGGTGGTACTGGTTTTAACTTTACCTCTACTGGTTGTTCTTCAGGCAGTGGTCGACGTTTTCCTTTAGGCCATTGTTTTTCCTCAACAGGTTTTTCCTCCGGTTTTTTCTTTTCACCGCGTTTCCAGGGTAACTGAGGCTTATGCAGTTCGTCTGTTATTTCTTTTTCCGTTTCTATGTGCTGTGCTGTTTCCAATTTAACTCGCTCAGTATCTGATATATCTGGTAAGTCTTCATGTTCGGGTTTCTTCATCTTTTTAATCTTATCTCTCTCTTCAACAACAATTTCTTGATCTGGTCTCTCAACATGCTGCAATAATACTTCTTCCAACTTTTGTTCTTCAGGCTTTGACGTAACACGTTTTACCGGTTTGAGACGTATTTCCTCCAATGTTTCTTCTTGAGGTAATTGCTTTATTTGTTTTCTAAAAGGTTTTAATTTGACATCCTCCAGTTTTTCGTCTTTTGGTTCTGGGTACGACTTTTGTACAATTTCTGGTTTGGATGTTACCAAATCTACTGTTTCTTCCTTAATCGTTGCTTCTAGTGGTTGAACTTCTTCAGTTACCTCTTCTTCCTCTTCGCCTGTCGATTTCTTTGGTTTTTTTCTTCTAGTACGTTTTGTAGTGATTTCTTCGGTTATTTCTTCTACAACAGATTCTTTAGTTTGCTCAGGTTCTGCTAATTCTTCCGGTTTTCGTATGGGCTTAAGTGTAGACTCTTCTAATATTTCATCTTGAGCTTTTTGTTGCCTTGGTTTCTTTGGAATTGGCTTTAATACAACTTGTTCACGTTTTTCAGGCTCCTGAGGCAAAATTTTTCTTGTTCGCCTGGGATGCACTGTTTGTTCAGGCTCCTCCTCTATTTGTTTTCTTCGCACTGCTGGTGAAACAGAGTCAGTTTCGTCTATAGTTTCTACGGGTGCTTCAGGGACATGTACAGATTTTGGTGTCTTAAGTGGTATCTTTTCCGTAATTTCTTCAACCTCTTCTTCAATACTTCTTCGCAGTGGAATATCTTCAATTTTTTCATGAGCTTTAATTAATGTATCTTGTTCAACCTCTCTGGGAGTTGTGTCATGTGGTGATTTCTTTTTGCCACGAACCCAAGGTACTGGCTGCAACTCCTTGGATTCTAGTGGCTTACTTTCTTCAGACAAAATATCTGTTTTCTCTTCATAAAATCTTCGTGGAGTCTCTTCAACTTTTTCGGCTTTAGACGGCTGAGCCCGCTTCACGGGCTTCAGTCGAATTTCTTCCGCCTTAGGTTCTTCCATTGGTTTTAAACGCGGTCTATGTTTAAGCTTAACTTCCTCCATTTTTTCTTCTTTTGGCTCCAGTGGAACTTTCTTTTTCTGCTCTCTAAGCTCTTCAATAACTTTCTCTTCTTCTTTATCTGGTAATCTGTCTGTTTTAATGCTATGTCTCCATTCTTTCGGCTTGGATTCCTCAGGTTCTTGCGGTTCAGTCTCCTCCGGCGAAACATCGATTTGTTCTTCATAGGCTGTTTGCACTTTTTCAGGAGTTTCTTCTAATAATTTTTGTGGTTTCTTTTTTCCACGTTCCCAAGCAATCGGCTTAAGTTCTTCGCGTTCCTGATATTTGTTGTCATCCGGCAAAACGTCTATAGCTTCTTCGTATTCTTTTTGCGGTGCTTTTTGCGTTTCTTCCGCTTTTGATGGTTGAACACGCTTAACAGGCTTTAACTGAACTTTTTCAGGTTGGAGTTGTTCTTTTGGCTTTGAACGGGTTATGGGTTTTAGTCTAACTTCATCAAGTTTTTCCTCCTTTGGTTTTTTCATTTCATATTCCAAAGCAATCTGTGTAAGTTCTTCTAGTTCTTGAGTTTTGCTAACATCGAGTAAGACATCTGAAGCCTCTTTGTAAGTTTTTTGCAACGTTTCTTGAACTATTTCCGTCTTTTGCGGTGGAATGCGTTTAATAGGTTTCAACTGAACTTCTTCGGGTTTTGTCTCTTCCTTTGCTTTTAAACGTGGTGTAGGTTTCAGTTTAACTTCTTCCATTCTTTTTTGTTTTGGTTCTGGTATTAATCGGGACTTAACTTCGTGCTTCCTAAATTCCTCATCAAATTTCTGGTCTTCTAAGCTGCTTACTTCCGAAATTTGACCAACTTCCTTTTCTTGCACAGATTCCCGTATTTTCTTTCCCCGTTTCCATAATACAGGCTCAGGCTGTTCAGTTGGGTGCGGTTGGGTTTCTTCTGGTAAGATATCTGTGACTTCTTCATAGTTTCTTTCAATCTTTTCCGGTAGTTTTTGAGTGGACTTCTTTTTACCGCGCGCCCATACGACTGGCTGAAGTGATTCAGAATCTTCTGCAGGTTTTTCTTCTTCTAACACGTCGACTGCTTCTTCATATGTTCGAATAAGTGGTTCGTCGACTTCTTGAATTTGTTGTTTTGTCCGTGCTAGTGGCTTTAAGTGCGGCTTTTCCGTTTTTTCTACAGGCTTTGGTTTCTGCCGTGGAGTGGGCTTAAGCGTGATTTGCTCCATTTTTTCCTCTGATCGGGGCTCAGAAACAATACGTCGTTGTGTAGTTTTGGTGGCTTCTTTAAGTACGGTTTCTTCGGTTCTTTCTTTTATCTTTGGTTTCTGTTGTTCTTCTAATACACGTTGTTTTCTGCCTCGCTCCCACTGGAGTGGTTTCGAATCTTCAGATTGTTGGGCTTGTGATATAGACTCAACCAGCTTATCTTGTATTTCTTCATAATGTTGAGGCCGAGTTCGAAGTAGAGTCTCTTCACGTTCTTGCCTATGAAGCGTTTGAGTATCTTCGATTTGAATTAATTGTTGAGGTTGACGAACTTGACGCCAGTTAAGGGCCTGTTCTTCTTTAATGCGTCGTTGACTTTCTAGTCTTTCACGCTCGCTTACACTGAGAAGATTAATGTCTTCAGTGGTGATGTAGCGCTGCTTCTGAATGTCTTCCACCTCAACATACTTCTGTCTCTCATTTCGGCGCATTAATTTTTGTATCGACTGCTTAGAAGTATCATCCACCTTCATAATGACCGTGTCTTCAGTGGCCGTAGTAGTCTCCTGAGTAACAATCTCCTCGGTCACTAAATGACGAAGTTCAACTTCTTCCACTTTGAATTTCTCAATTTCTTTATGTATATGTTCAACTTTTTTCAAATGCTGGCGCATTTCCTTCCATGGTATGGCATCACCCTTCTTTTGCTGTTCTTCTATTAATTTTTCTATCTGCTCTGTCATTTCCATAATTTCTGACGTTTCCAATTTTTTCAAACGCTGAATTTCATGATCGCGTATTTCTTGTTCCTGTACACCATGTTGCGGCATTTCTTGATCAGAAATTTTGGGTCGTTCAATGTGATGCAAATAAACTTCATCTAATTCGAATTTTTCTAATTGTTTCTGCACAGTGGCCACATGGCGTAGTTTTTCCCTCATATCTATCCACGGTATGGCTTCTTTCGGGGTCTTACCTTTGATTATCTTCTCTAAGGTGTAACCAATGTTCAACAAACCTTGGTCACGTTCACTTTTAATGGACTTTAATACTACTTTGGCGGCTTCTAACTTTGGTATAATTTTCTTTTCAATAGGAGCTGGTTTTAAAGTAACAGTTTCTTCCGTCCAGGATTTGACAGGTGCAGGCTTATAACCTGGTAGAAAAGGTGATTTGTCAAGTGAACGCCCACGTCTGGGACGTGATGATTTACGCCAGGGAATCGTTGATTCAGGTTGCAGCGATTTACTACGAATTTTAGACTTTTTAGTGCGTGGTCGTGACTTATGCGGTACTTGGCCATTTATTTGTGGGTATTGCTGATATTGCGGTGGTTGTAAGGGCTGTTGTTCTGGGGATTCTGGCAAATTATCTTCTCTGCTTGATGAAGAACTTTCATCTTCACCAGAATCAATAGTTTGCAATTGATAAGTAGAGATGCGACGCTCTAAAATATATAATGAATACATTTAATGCTTCGTAATTTTTTGCATTGAAATGTCCAACTAGTGTCAGTCGCTCTGTCATAACACATCGCCAATAGTTATACTTCAGTAATTTGGTAAAAATGTGAGAATTCAAACGCTAGTATAGTTGACAAAAATAATAGAAAAACAGCATGTTGGCGCCTTGTTAACGATAATTAGCAAATCAATGAATAAGAAAACCATGTCATTAAATACTAGCATTAGGAAAAGGGCTCTCTTAACATAAAAGGTTTCAAATTTGAAATTTAACTGCAAAGCATATAAAAACACATAAGACGTGACATTGTCAACAACTGGCTTTTAAATACATTCATATACGTATTCGCCTATATGCGTACAAATTACCTGTTGGCTGTTGGTCATCTGAGCTTTATAGGGGTGGGTGGACTTGTACAAAGTGATATACACAAAGAGAACAAAAAAAAAAAAAAAAAAAAAAAAAAAAAAAAAAGCAAATAAAATAATTAAATAAGAAAAGACGCTACATATAAATAGAAAAGCCGTATATTTTTCTTAAATATTTACTCGATAAAATATTATATAATTTTTGAATTGTATAGGACCATGAGACACATTTACACACGTACTTTTTCAAATTGCTACAATTTTAAAATATTTAGAGAATTCTTAACATGCTTGATCATTTTAATGATAACAATTTATATGCATGTGTTAAAGCATAAAATATGAATTTTAATTAATTTATTTTGGCAGTTTTTTTTTTTTTTGTTTGTCTAATATTTGCAAATATATATTTGTGATTATTTGATTGTTTTCAGTCATTTTAAGCAAAATGTTTAAATATATAGAAAAAACTCAAGATGATTAATATTTTTTAAAATTCACATTAGCAAAAAGTTAAAAAAAAAAACACTTTTTAATTAGTCAAACAGATGGCTGTAGGCATTTTGTGCGTCACGGCAAGGTATTATTATTATTATTATTATATCAAATGGCCTTGCGAGTCTCTCAAATTAATCTTCAATTCATATAGATTGCAAAGATTGATTCATAGTACCTTGAATTATGAGAAATATATAAAAAATCTGTGTCACTGTCAACGTAATCATAATGAAATTATGTTGGTTTTTCTAAAAATTCAAGAAAGTCTAATAATAGTTAGGGGCTTGTAAATTAATAAATGCATGACACTCTTATTGCTTTAATTGTTTTTATGCAAAAGTACTTATCAATAAGATAGAGTTTTTTAGTTTCTTCCCATTGTTGTTCTAAATTCGCTGCTGTCGCTTTCTCTATTTCTATTAGATGCGCTTAGAGAAACATAGGAGAGTGAAACTTTGCAAAAAATTACATTGAATATGATCTAATTGATTGAAATCTGTAACGTTTACCTTTTAACATACAAAGAATTTATACAAACAAGTCCGCTTTAGACTTAAATTATTATCTATTTGTTCAGTAAATAGATCAAAATACTCAATGTTTAAGATGATTGTATATGCATTTATTTTTTTCTTGAAAGATAACCTTCAGTAAATTTCATTTTTAATTCAATCGATTCTAAGATGTCTTTGAAAACGCAGATAAAGTAAATGATAATGATAATCCTATAAAGTGATTATATACGAAAGCCTTATTAAGCAAGTTTGTTTAATTGTGTGTTTTTAGTAAAATTTGTTATATAAAGTACGAAAAAAAATTTTTTACAAGCTTTGGTGTTTCGAGAACAAGACCAAATAATTTATACTGAATCCCTAAGAATGGCTGATCGCTTTAAAAAGATTAATTAGAAATTTAAGATCTTTTACAGATAAGTTTAACAAATCTTTCATGCAAAGGTTCTCTAAAAAAAAAAGATACAAAAAAGATGGATATGATTATCCACATAGACGCTTAGAGATCGAATTGAAACACGGACAGTTAAGACAAATATATACAACATGGTCCAAATATTTAAGCTTTTAAGTTTCTTATCCATTTTCATATAATTTTGCATTCATTAAATATATGAATGCTTGCGTGTAGCCATCATCTGAGTGAGGTAATCAAATTTTTAAGTATTCCGATTTTTTTCTTTTTACGATTGATTTGTAAAAAAAGAATAATTGCTTGTTAAATGAAATTTTTATTATTGTTATATTCACGGCTCGCTGAAAAAATGTAACATTTCATAATCTCTATTTATACGTGCACATGTGCCATGACTTTTATGTGGGAGAATATAATATTTACAAGTAAAATTATTGCATTATGGCATTATTGCAATTAACAAGGAAATGCTTGATTTGTAACGAACGCATTCAGAATCTAATCAAACAAGAAAGTATTTCATTTAAAATTTTAATAGCAAAAAGGCGAACCTAAGAAGCGTTTGCTTTCAAATATTATTTTTTTTTTTTCGCGTATAACCTTCGGTTTTTTGTATTTCATCGATAAATAAATAATATAATCTTAAGATGTAAATGTGCGAGAAAGCTTAAAATTTAATTGAAAATGATTTCTTTATTTTTTCAAATTCTTTGTTTTTTGCAGACAAGCGCAGAGAACGTTCCCAGCGTGTAGCCGCTACATGGGGTAAATGATAAGAAAAGATACATTTTTGGATACATTTTCTAATTCAATTTTGAAATTGAAAAGAAGGGAAGTATTAAAAGTTTATTTGGAAAATTGTTTCAGAACAACAAAAACAAAAAATTTCAAAGTAAACATTAGAAAAGTATGTTATAAAATATTACATTACTTATGTCTATGATGTTCTTTGATATGCGAAATAAGGATTCTACAGCTCAATGAACATGAAGTAGAGCATTGGAAAAGGGATGCACAGAAGATCCTACATATATTTTATATTGGTAATCCGCATACAGATAGATGAATTAATATAGCTGCGTTTATCTGTTTCCGTAACTGACTATGAGCTTTCTATTAAAATTGTTATAATAAGTTCGAAATTTTACCTGAAAGAAATAACATGATCTCAATTTTCACTCGTCAGTATTGTCATTATAATGCAGTATATATTAGTATGGTTTTACTTTTGTGTAATTATGCATACTGCTCTTAATCATATCGTATAAAAATGTTAATCAAAAATATTCATATTAAATGAAAAATTTTACAAAGCTGCTGGAAGCGAACTACAAAGTTCGGCGTCAAGCGAAATCAACTTCTTCATTATTCTGCATTCCGTATTGTTATGCTTTGGGTGTTATCATTTACAAATTAGATATAAAATTTTCCTAAAAATGCGCAACACTGTTCGAGTGTCCCTAATATAGTTATATTTGCAGCTTGATGCTGTTCCTAAATTCAAAAGATTTACAAGTCGTAAGTAGATTTTATGTCTATTAAAATGTGGGCGGCGGATATGGTCATGTTGTACACTACAAGAAATTTTTTTTCATTTTTTAATCTACTTTAAACCTAATGAATATTTTTATGAATATACGACATTTTTTGGTCCAAACTCTCAGTAGAAAAATCATGTAAAAAAATATTTATTCATAGAGAGTCAATGAAAAACATTTTTCGCTTGATAGCAAGAAATGTATACAAATATACACACACAAACACACATACAAGCATATATACATATATATATATATATATATGTACACATATATATATATAAAACATGAATCAAGGTGACAATTATATATTGTGAGTGTTAGACCAATTAATATAAAATTAGTCAAAGTGCTGAAATAATGCTACTTTTTTTGCTTTTCGTTTTTTCTTTTTTATAATTATCAGAAAGTTATGCACATGAACCTAAATATGTGGGATGAATGAATGGTACATTGGGGAAGAAAAGGTCAGGGAAATCTTATATCGAGCAAAATGAAAGTAAAACATATTATTGGATATTGGTTGGTTGTGATGTAGAAAAATTTTGGAAGATATTCGCAGGTTTAAAATTTTATCTATATATTGCGGTAACTGAAATTTCCATTAAACTAGATGTTGATTTGAAATTTTTTATTAATAGCTAGCTAATGGAGGAGCAGAAGGAGATTCAATTATTTCTATAAAACTACCTTCGCCTATCGTGGATTTGTTAAGGCACTTATTACTGAAGCCTGAAGAGCTATTAGTATGAATAAAATTTCAATAAGTATGTTACTTAAATTTTCCTCAAACTTAGTGTTAGTCATGTTTTGTTGTTCATAAGTCCTACGCTAAACGATATGTAATAAAGTATTGAATATCAAGGCTCATACAAAAATTGCATAGTGTTCTTTCACGGTAATCCATCCCGAAGAATTTGCTTTAGGGCCTTCTAAGTTTGATAATATTTATAATGGAGTAGGAAAAATTAAATTGCATACATATATTTATCGACATGTTTAAATGTCCATATATGTACATATATATACGTATATATACATATATATGTATACATGTATATATATATATATATTTATTTATCGAGAACCACACAAGTCATGAAATGAGTTCAGTTGAAATCAGTTCAATTCATTTGAGTTTAGTGTGTATTATTTTTAAAAATAACTTTATGATGATTCTTCGTATGTTTTTTCTTTTTTGTTTAGTTTAATAAACGTCACCTGTGGTAGGGAAGAAATTTTTTCAAAACGAAAGAGTAAAATGAATATTTCAGTTAATACAGAAATTTAGTCTTTCACAATAAACGACAGCGGAAGGTTGCGTCGAGCGTGTTTTAAAAAAGCGAATAAAATATTTTACAGTGAACGCTTTACTTACCTGTTGTGCTTTCTAGCGTTTCTTCTTACTAGTTTTAACTTTTGAGCGGGAAAAGGAGGGAACGTTAGAGAAGTGTTTTGAATAATAGTTTGATTTTTTAAAAGCTTTTCTTTTTATTATTATTATTTTTTAACAACATTAAAAGTTATACATTAAAAAATATTTTTTAAAAAGAAAGATACATGAAATTTGCGTTTTTTTTTATTTTATTGGAATTAGAGAAATAAAAAAACATTTAAAAACAATACAAAGAAAATCAACATAAATTTAAATGAAATGACTTTTCTTCTTTTTTTTTTAAATTAAGAAAAAAAAAAAAACTTAAAAGTGACGCCCAGTCGCATGAGTATTTTATGATTAATTTTTTTTTAATAGTTTTTATTTATAGCAAAGCAACAAATTTTGAAAAATGAAATTTAGCAAAAAACATAATAATTTAAAGAAAAAAAATTATAGCGTATGTATATAACATGAATAAAAAAATAACATTTTACAATATTAGTAAAATTAAGCTGTAAGTCAGAAAAAAAATTAAATATAAAAATCTCATGCAACGTTACTACAAAATATAAAAGGACATATATAAAAAAAACATAATAAAAACAAATTATTTCACTTATCAAAACCCGAACAAAGGGAATAATTTTTAAACATTAAATCTATAGAAGAATATCTGGGAACACTTAGAGGTTTACAAGTCCATTCTGTCCATATATAGTACTAAAGTACGATACAGTCGCAATGAAATTATTTTGAAAACGCAAAAAACAACACAACAAAAAGCGGTATGTTTGTTTAAGCAAATCTAGCAGAAGGAAAAAAAAAAACGTTTTACTAATATTTTCTCTTTCGTTCAATTATCTTGCAGATGATGATTCAGTTCGATATTAAAAGGGATAAAAAAGACATATGACGATGTTGACGATGATGTTTGTTGCCAATGAATCAACAATCACTCGTAACCAATTATTTAGCTGAGGCATGACCGTACAATTAAACAACGTCCCTACCACCATCTCATAAGCTGATTCATACAATTAAAAAAAAAAAAGAAAAAGACTCTCGCGTGCCAAGAAAGTTCCTTCTTTTTTTTATTTATTTATATATATATTTATTTGATTAAATAAATGACATTTTTTATAGCTTTTTATCAAGTTTGTGACTTTGAACAGGAGCGCCCAACAACTGTAATGAACCGTAACGAAAATGCTTTATGGTAAGATTGCAATTCTTGCTTTTGTTGTACACTATTATTAGATTAGCTATTGAATAGACAAATGAAAAATTGAATAAATATATATTAAAGCAAAAAAAAAAAAAAAAACCAGGACATTGTTGTTTTTATTGCTCTTTAATGGTTGGGTGTGACACTCGCGGATGGGGGCCATGCACGTTTTGATTTATTGTTATTTTCATTTATCGCTAATATGTTCTCTCTGGAAAGCGACATGAAATCATTTCTACTTAGCCAACGCAAGACATTTTGGCATGCGCCAGCATGTCTATCAAAAAATGCCTTTAAAATATAACGCATTAAAAAAATTAAATTCGAATATCATCCGTACGCGTCCAAGTTTTATAAGGTGAAAGTTTGGAAAAACGGTATCATTCTTAGGAGTACGGAAAAGTTTTCGATTTCATTTAGCATAAAATCTTACTACAACGAACGCATCTCTGCATATCAATCTCAATATAAACACATCTATGCGAATGTCAATGAGTGTGTGTTACCATAAATTGGATGTGCGTTGTTTTTTGCGCACGAAATATCTTTTGGTTCATATCTTTTTCGAAAATTTCTATAAAAATGAAAATAGCATGTAAACATACGTTCGCACATCTGTCATGTTTTATAAATTTTTATAATTACTTAAGAAAAGAAAATATAATGCGTTTTATGCACACGTCCCTAAATGTTTTCTGACGCTTTTTTTTTTTTTTTCTTCAAAATTCTTCTCTTATTAAAATTAACTTTGTACGCTTTCTTCTATACGTGAGCGCATAAATTTTCTTTAAAAACATGATTTTCTTTTTGTTAGCATTATGAGCTTTTTATTAATATTTTTTCGATTTTTTTATATCTGCTTGATTAGTAAAACGTTTTTTATTTAGTTTTCAATTTATGCGTTTTTTTTCCTATTTTTTTTTTTTCCTGTTAATGTGTGTTTATAATAATAAAAAAGCAGCAAAAAGAATATATTTCCGTTTCGTTTCGTTTTTCAAACTTAGATAACTAGGTGTAGAGCTACATTTGCTTATAAGTGTTCATTAATTTGTTTTAATAAATTTAAGTTAAAACTTGTCGTCTCTATTGTCATTTGGTCATTTATGTCTGCTTCTCGTTTATCAATTTGGTTTTCTTGCATTTATCCCATATTGTCATACATAATAATTAATCCTTACTTTTTACAATCAATTTGGCAGACGATTCAGCTTGTCCGGTAGATGAAGTTACACGCACTGTAAATACACCGGAGTCTTCTTCATAAGTTGTCCCAATTAAGAGTACCGCAGTGTTACCATCAAATATCATCTGAAACGTTTAGAAAGTGAAAAGAGAGACAAATTACCATAAAAGCAACGTGAGAACTTATCTTTTAGTAATTTGCATAGTGTTCGCTTATCTTGTGCTTCAAATGTCAAATTTTGGAAAAGTTACAACTAAACTACTTCGCGCAACACTAAATGTAATTTTTTTTAAGTCTATTTTCTCCATACAAAAGTTTGCTCAAATTTCATATATAACGAAAGATTAAAAACATTATTTTCTATATGTTGAAATAGGCGTTTGATAGCTTTAAAAGGCTTTTTCAAATTTCATATATTTTTGCGCAGCATTTATTTCAAGGAAGGCTTCTTTTGCGAACGAAATTAGTTTTACGCTCAATTAGTTTTGAACAGAGTATTTATTCGCATGGTTTTTGGGAAGCTATATGGATATATCCAAACTTTGTCTGGCTATCGACGGATTTCATATTAAAATCAAATTTACCGTATTGAGTTCACGAGGTGTTCTGCTTTCAGACAAGCGTAAGATTTTATCGTTTTCCTGCAAGACTTTTCGTACCGTTATATTTAACATTACCTCTAACGTCATGTCCTAATTATTGGATTTGTTTAAGTCTTTAATCAAAACACTTTTCACTTCTATTTTTGACTATGCCATTTACCTGGAAATCGGGAGTTTCTGGTATGAGAGCACCCTCACGGAACCATTGAACACTGGTCGGTTTGACTTTACCAGTTACTGTGGTTTTAAATTGAGCGGGCATACCTTCGGTAACGGAAACGTCTTTTAAGGCGGTAATAGTTGGTGGAGCATCTAAATTTTCGATAGGCCGAACTTTTAACTGGGCGCTGGTTTGTATGCTGCCTAACTTGTTTTCCGCTACACATTTGTATGTACCTTCGTCTTCAGGAAAAGCCTCCGAAATGACTAGCTGATAGTGTTCACCTTGACGTGTCATTTGGAAGTAACGCGAGGGCTTGACGATGTTTTCTCCACGCATCCAACGTGCAGTAGGAGTTGGCTTGCCCTCAATGCGGCAGCGAAATACTACTTTGCTTCCCTCCTCGATTGACTGACTCTTAAGGGGTTCAACAATATGTGGCGGTTTCTCTGTATCAGGAGCGGTGGGAGTCGGTTTATCGCTTGGTTGTTTGGTGGCACTTTGAACAATGCAGTCAGCGTCGCATCGTGCCTCACCGGCTGAATTAACCGCTACGCATTCATAACGCCCTGAATCTTCTATAGATGGTTCAATTATTAAAAGCGTTTGTACACTGTCTTCCTCAAGCATTTTAAATTTGATGCTCGGTTTAATTTTCAAGCCATTCTTAAGCCAATAAACGTCAATTGGACGGCTACCGGTAACTCTAGCGTCAAAGCGGGCCAACTGTCCTGTAGTCACTGTAGTACTTTGTATGGTTGTAACAAAGCTAGGTGGAGTAATGCCACCTTTACCAGCGCGTCGCCGTTCTTCAACTACTAAATTAGCACTGCATTTAGCGGTACCACCTCGATTTTCCGCTATGCAGGAGAATACAGCTGAATCTTCGACAAACACCTGTCGTATAATCAAGACGGATTTACCGCTAAAAGTGTGAATTTGCAGATCGGGTGAACTCTTGATTGGGAAATTTTCGCGGTACCATTTCACGGTAGGCATTGGTTCACCATCGAACTCGACCTCAAATTTGGCTTGTTCGTTTTCGAATACACGGCAAGGTTGTATTTTCTTGGTAAAAATGGGTGGTTTGGACGGTTGCACAGGTCCCTTTACAACGCGCTCTTGCACGGTACCCTTATGTTCCATCTCGGTAGTTTCGGTAGCAGTAATTTTCCGAGTAATTTCCAAATCACCGACCACTTCCTTTTGTGTTTGTTTCTGCTTACTCATGTGAACCTCACGGCCGTGAACAGACGATTCTGAAGGCTCAATGGGAGGTTTGTGTATAACCTTTTTGGTAGTAAGAGCTGTGGACTCGGAGTCTTCCCTGAAAAAAAATTGTTGTTAGCATGCAAGGATATGTAAGCTAAGTATTTTCTTTTTTTGATTGAAGGATACATACAGATTTTCTTCATAGGATTTCGCCATGCCTTTGGTAGTTGTACCACTAACAATTTTTTCACCGGGTATGGCATATTGATGGTTGTCCTTACGTAAATTACTCTCCTTAAGTAATTGTTCAGTTTCCAGTTCTTGCAGTTTGGAATAATAATCCTCATTTTTCTTCTTTAACACCGACTGTTGCCAGTCAGGACATTCCGGTTTAATTTGTTTCGGCTTCAAATGTTCGACTCCTTTCAAAGGACCAATTTTTTGATCGGCTAAATATTGTTTACGCTCATCGAATATCTTTTCCAATTCAGTTTCTTGACGTTCTTTTTGGTAAGCAGTAAGTTCATAGTCATACCAAGCTAAAGTTAATGTAGGATATTTGCGTTAATACACATATTCATGACGCACAAAATGGAAAGCTTATTACAAAGAGCTTTGTCGATAAAGCTTTATACTGGCTTTTTTTTAAATAAAGCGGTTTTTAAAAGTTATGTTGATGTTATTTATAAACAAATCGAAAGCTTTTTTTTTAATTTGGAATCAATAAAATTTTATGAATTTATAAGGCGAAGAAGAGATTTTGATGAAGAGAATGAGACAGAAAAACGTCACGAAATGAAAGAAATTATGTTTTTACATACAGAGAGCATGCTAAAACGTTGTGCAAAACTCATTAAAAATAAACGGCGAACGCTAATATTATAAAAAAATTGAGAAGAATCTAATCATAATATATACGAATATATAAAAAATTTCACATGGTATTAGTGACACAGAGAGATAGAGAGAGAATAAGGTAAGAATTATTAGTATCTCACACTTGTGTAAATCACTCATTCTCATACTACCGTACGTCACCAGTGAATTTTGCAATCCACCGCGTTGATTTCATATCCTTAAATATGGCCATTGTAGATTTTCCAGCTTTGGAGATAATTATAGGTAATTTTTGATGGGATATTTAATGGGATGGGATATCAGGAATTGAAGTGTGGAACTTCGGATAAGAGCTTAAGTACTATATTGTGCTTTAATATATTTTATATGTATATTTACAATGTAAAATGTGTGTATCTTCATGTTAACTATGTATGTACGTTAAGTATATGATTCTTTATTAAAATCTGTTATATAATAGTATTAATCGCTTGTCTTTGTATTAGGTAAGCTAATAAAACCGTATATTGTTGTTGGTGATTAAATTTCTGATTTTTTAAATATGATAATAAATGTTCCGAGTACTTACGCCGTGGTGAGTTCTTTAAAACACCGCGGTAATCGTCAGAGCGAGCCACTACTTTAAGTTCAGTAGATGCGATAGACTCTCCTACTGAATTGCGGGCAATTACTTCAACTTTACCAGTATCGTATTGACGAGTTTTAGGTATGTCCAAATGAAACATTCCATCATTTGTCAATTTGTAACGCGAACCCTTACATATACGAAAAAATTTACAATATATACCTTTAGTAGGTATGAGTTAGACTTACATGGACTACAGTGTGACCATTAATAAGCCACATAACTCTAGGGCGTGGGTAACCGGTAACACGTACGCAAAATCTGGCAGGCTCACCTTCTTCCACAGTTTGAGCTTCTAGTTTGCTAACGAATACCGGCTTCGAGCGCGGCCTAGCATCGGGGTCCACTTCTTCCGGTACACTAAAGCACGATATAAAAATCAAACGTCAAAATCTCGCATGAATAAGATATCATGTTTTAAGTGTCTATATACTTACACTTGCCAAGAAGCTTCCATTTCACGTATGCGCTCAATACTGTGCATATGAGCTGGTAATTGAGAATCGTAAACAATACCAGGTTTTCCAGACACTTTTATAGTAGCTTTAGTCTCATCCATGCCATACAGATTAGTAGCACGGCACACATATTCCCCACTATCTTCTGGATAAACCCAACCAAAGTTCATAGCTACATAACCAAAGTCATATATAGGTTGGAAACGATTTTCTGTGAAAGAGAAGCGTAGATGTTTTTACATACTCATAGCGAAGCATTTTCACTACCACTTACTGTGCAGCAATGGTTTGCCATTAAAGAACCATTCCACTTTCATATTTGGGTCACCGACCGGAGCTAGCTGACATTCGAATTTCGTGGATTGCATTTCGCTTAGTTTTAGCTGCTCTTTTATTTGTGTAACAAAACGTGGAGGTTGTTTGCGATCAGGATCGAAGAGGTCATCTTCGGTTAAATGAATTTCAGATGTATATTTCTTAATAGTAGCTTCCATTTGTGTTAGAGTCTCGGAACGTTTCATACCCCGTGGTAATTGATTTTGTAAAATAATTGAAGGTAATTGTTTACAAGAGATGGTTGCTTTGGTGCGTGCTTCGCCGTGCTTATTATAAGCACGGCATACATATTCACCAGAATCTTCGGCATACACGTATAGGATGTCGAGGGAGACAAAACCCATATCGAAAATATTTTTATATCTGTGACCAGACGGTAAAAGTTTACCGTTGCGATACCATTCCACACGTAAGTTGGGGTCGGTCTTTGGTTCTACTTGGCACTCGAAGCGAACCGCTTCAGCCTCTTCCGCAGTTACCGATGCTATTTCGGTAACAAAATACGGCGGTCCGTACACCGTCTCCTCTATTATGGGCGTCTCTGGTATACGCCCGCGTTCCAATTCTTTAAGTTTCTCAGCCGATATGCCTTCGGGCAATTGGGAGTCGTACACAATACCATGTTTACCTTTGCAAGTAACCTTAGCGGTAGTGGTAGCTACACCCCATTTATTTGTAGCTCGACAAGTATACTCGCCGGAGTCGCGTGAATACACGTAATCAATGTCGAGAGCAATAAATCCAAAGTCATTTAGCTGATGTACACGCGAACCCGTTGGCAAAGGACGTCCGTTGTAGAACCATTCGATTCGCATAGTTGGATCTCCTACAGGTTCTACACGACAGTCGAAATGTATTGGACCACCTTCGGGTACATCGAGATTGTCTTTGATTTGCTCAGTAAATTTAGGCGGATTGGGCTGTTCTTCATCGACGATGATCTCTTCCCGTTTATGCATATTTTCTTCCAACTTTTGTAAACTTTCGGTGCCCGTACGAAAGTTGCAAGGCAATTGAGGCTCCATGATAATGCCTTGGCGCCCTTTAACTTGCAATTTGCAAGAAACCGTTGCTTCACCGTGCTTATTCGTAGCCTTGCAAGTGTAAAGACCAGAATCACGTTGGTAACAACCAGCAATTTCCAGAATTACGAATCCAAAGTCATTGATTGTTTTGATGCGAGAGCCAGCCCACAATGCTTTGCCATTGTGGAACCACTCAACGCGCATACTGGGATCATTAATGGGCTGTAAGCGGCATTCAAAATGAGCTAGTGAATTTTCATTAATGATCATGTCAAATGGCGTAGTAATGAATTCTGGGGGCTTTCCGGTTTCGTCTTCAGGAGTAAACTCTGTGCTTCGCACACCTAGACCTTCTAGCTCAGCGATACGGTCAATTGTGCCTTCCATACCTTTGGGCAGTTGGGATTCCATTATGATGCTGCGTTTTCCTTGAATTTTCATGGTAGCTGTTGTTACAGCTTCGCCGTATTCGTTGATAGCGCGACACGAGTATTCACCTGAATCTTCTGGGTAAACGGGAGAAATTTCTAATATAACAAAACCAAAATCACAGAAGGTTCGAAATCGTGAACCAGCTTTTAGTGGACGTCCATTCCAGTACCATTCAACACGAAGTCTTGGATCATCAGTTGGAGTAACACGGGCTTCAAAATGAGCGTTTTCACCTTCACGCAAGTTGTCAAGATTCTCTAGCGGTACTGTGAACATCGGAGCTTTGCCTTTAGTTTCTTCTACAGTTTCATCGCGTGTACGAATCATACTATATTCGAGATTAGCTATTTTCTCCAAACCACCTTCCATACCACGTGGCAATTGGGATTCTAGAATTAAACTTGTTTTCGAAGTACATTTCAAAGTTGCAGTTGTAACATCTTCACCGTATTTGTTAACAGCTCGGCATTCATACACGCCGGAATTCTCTTCATAACAATATAAGATATCCAAAATAACAATGCCGAAATCATGGAAGGTGCGAAAGCGATGTCCATGAGGCAATTTTTTACCATTAAAGTACCATTCGACCTTAAGGTCAGGATCAGCTACCGGTGTGAGACGAGCTTCAAAGTGAGCGCTTTGGCCTTCAACCAACTTTGTAATGTCTTTAATCTGAGTTATAAATTTAGGTGGCTCTGCTAGTATAGGAGTGGCATCCATTGGCTGTCCTTGCGGACATTCAAGTTCTCTGATCCTTTGCAAAGAATCCGGTTGCAAAGTATCATAAAATACACCACCCCGTCCTCGGCAGTTAAGAGTGGCTTTGGTAAAATCTTCGCCGTATTTGTTGTATGCCCGACAAACATACTCTCCACTGTCATGATCTTGCAGGTAAGATATATCAAGCACAACAAAGCCAAAGTCCGACACAGTCTTAATGCGATTCGAATGACGCATAAGTTTTCCATTGTGGTACCACTCAACTTTAAGGTCGGGATCGTTGACTGGAATAAGTGTGCATTCGAAGTGAGCGGACTGTCCGTCTTTAAGGCCTTCTAAAGATTGGATGTGAGTTGTGAAATGTGGCTTTTGACCACGTGGCTTTTCTACACATTCCAAGGTACAGTTAATCTCAGCCGATCCATATTTATTTGTAGCGCGGCAAGTATATGTGCCAGAATCCTCAATCTTTGTTCCCAAAATTTCTAAGGCAACCATACCAAACGCATAAATTGTCCGTACACGATGGCTAGCCTCGAGTACCTTACCATTGAAGAACCATTCTATGACCATAGTTTGATCGCCTGTAGGTATGAGATTGGCCTCATAATGAGCGATTTCGCCTTCACCAATATCGGAAATATTAGTGAATTCAGTAGTGAAACGAGGAGGTATACCTTCCTCTGGTTGTTCAGGTTTGGCACCATCTTTACGCAAGGACTCTTCTAAATCTTGTATTTGCTCAAGTCCTTCAGCTCCTTTGGGATGCTGAGTCTTTTCAATTATACTTTCTTTGCTAGTGCAAAATATGGTGGTTGTTGTGAAAGCTTCACCAGCTTTGTTGTAAGCTTTGCATGTGTAGATACCTTGATCTCGAGTGTATATTTCAGTGACATCCATTGTGACAAAACCAAATTCGCTTGTCATTTTGAATCGGGATCCATGTTGGAGTAATTTACCGTTGAAATACCACTCAATAAAGAGATTTGGATCTTCTTTTGGCTCTACATTACCTTCCAAATGCAAAGGTTCACCTTCGTTCAAACGAAATTCGGCTTGCAAAGGTTTGGTCCATACAGGAGCTGGATATTGAGTTTCGGGCTTAGAAACTTGACGTTGATAGCGGTTTGCTAAAGCATCTTCGGTTTCTTGTACAGCTTCTAAACCAGCTTCACCTTGAGGGTGCTGGGTATCTAGGAACATGGTTTTTCCGCTAGTACATTTCAATGTACCTGATGTAGTCGCTGAACCTTTGCTATTGATTGCTTTGCAAGTATAAATACCGCTGTTTTCAGCGTAAGTGTTAGACATGTCTAAAGCACAGTAACCAAAGTCGTATATGGATTTGAATTTAGCAGCTGCCTGCAAGGGCTGACCATTATAAAACCATTCAATTTTCATTGTTGGATCACGAGAAGGTTCAACGTTGCATTCGAACCGAACATTATCACCCTCTTTGCATTCAATGTTGTTTAGATGCGTAATATACACAGGTATTTCATAAGCTGGCTCTGGAGCTTCCGGACGGCCGGGTTTGGGAGCCTCAAGTTCCCCAATACGCGACAAAGAGTCAGGATGCAAAGATTCTGCTTGCAACCAATGACGGTCTTCGATCTTAAGTGAACAAGTGGATACCGCTTCACCCATTAAGTTGGTTGCCTTGCAAGTGTAAATGGCCGAATCATCGGCGCGCAAACCATTAATGGAAAGAGTAACTAAGCCAAAGTCGAAAGTGCTGCGTATGCGAGAGCCTGTGGTCAAAGAAATTCCATTTTTAAACCATTCAATGCGCAAATTAGGATCGGCCCGCGGTTCAACTTGAGCTTCCAAAAGAACATGTTGACCTTCATTAAGCTTATCGTAGCTCTGCAAGTGAGTTGTAAATACAGGAGCTTGTTGTGGAGTTGAATCAACAAACATTTCGGGGACACGATTCATTGCAGCTTCTTTAAGTCTAATTGCTTCCCAGGACTCAGGAATTAACGGCTCACCAACAATATTTGACTTGGATTTGACTTTCATAGCAGTTGAAGACACAGCTTCGCCAGCCGCATTATAAGCGCGGCACATGTAAACGCCGGAATCTTCAGGAACAACGGAGCTGATATCAAGAGTAACAAAACCGAAATCATTTGTAGTCCTCAAGCGTGAGCCCATCTTTAATTCAACTCCGTTAATGTACCACTCAAACTTTAGTGATGGATCACCAACCGGAACAACGCGGGCTTCAAAGTGACCATGTTGTCCTTCCCATAACTCCGAAGGACCAGTAAGTAGTTGAGTAAATATTGGTTTTTCAAATGCGCGTTCCGGCTCCTCAGGACGCGGAGCTGCTGGTCGTTCTAACTGATGAATGCGACTAATACTGTCCGGATGTTGCGTATCCAATTGGATGCTCGCCTCTGAAACTACGCGCATAGAAGCTGTAGTAACAGCTTCACCAAGAGGATTGACAGCACGGCACATATATACACCTTCATCTTCTTTACGAATGTGAGAAATGTCTAGGGAGACATATCCAAAATCATGTTGCTTTGTAATACGAGAACTATCTTCAATAAGTTTTTCATTTCGATACCATTCAACTTTAAGATTAGGATCGCCCACGGGAATTAGACGGCATTCGAAGTGAGCGGTCTGGTGTTCATTGATGCGATCTATGTTTTGTAATGGTTGCGTGAAGACCGGGCGTTGTTTTGTGCCAGGAGATTCTATTTCGGGTCTTTGGAATGGAGCATTGGCTTCCAACTTTCGAATTTTCTCCAACCCTTCAGGATGTTGGGTATCTGAAATAATAGTACCCCTAGCGACAACTCTCAAGCTGGTGGCCGATACACATTGGCCGAGTGCGTTGACTGCGCGCACTGAATATTCACCAGCATCTTCAGGCACTGCGTGAGTTATATCCAAAGCGACATAGCCGAAATCAAATGTAATATGGAATCGAGCGGCTGAAGGCAAAGGTTTACCGCCGTGATAGAATTCAATCCTTAGATTAGGATCATGCATTGGTTGTACTTGGGCTTCAAAGTGAGCAGTCTGGCCTTCATAGATTTCGGTCGTGCCACGTAATTCAGTGGTAAAGTGCGGCGGGCTAACTGGTGCTTCACCAACTTCAGTACGAGTAGTAATTACTTTGGCTTCAAGTTTTTGAATTTTCTCCAAAGCATCAGGATGCTGTGTGTCCAAAATCATACTGCGACGGTTTAAAACACGTACATTGCAGGTATTAACAGCTTCCCCGAGTAAATTAGTAGCCTTGCACATATATGTGCCAGTATCCTCGCCGTAGACGTACAAAATATCCAAGGCTACATAACCGAAATCGTGAGTTGTTCTATAGCGATGACCGAGCGGTAATTGTTTACCGTTGCAAAACCACTCTATTTTCAAGTTAGGGTCATTTATAGGCTCCACGCGGCACTCTAAATGAGCGTGTTCACCTTCTTTAAGATGCTCCAAGTTGCTTAAAGGTGTTAAGAAAATTGGTTTTTGGGTTTTTTCTTCAATTTCTTTTTTAGGGGGAGGGGCATGAGTTTCAAGTTGCCGAATTTTTTCTAAGCGCTGAGCATCAAGTGTGTCGAGATCCAAAGTTTTGTTTGCTGAAATATATAAAAAGACAATAAACAAAAAAATATAGGTCCACCTATTTAGTTTAATAATCACCTGTGACGTTTACAGCACAAGTCGTAACTGCTTCCCCTACAGCATTCTTTGCCTTACACATATAAGTTCCCGTATCTTCGGCATGAGCGTATAAGATATCCAAAGCAACAAATCCAAAATCATAGGTAGTTTTAAAACGATGCCCTGTCTGTATTGGCCTACCATTGCAGAACCATTCAACTTTCATTGTTGGGTCATTAACTGGAGTGAGAGTAGCTTCTAAATGGACTAGAACACCTTCATTAACGTTGGCATTACGTAATGGTCTTCCGAATTGCGGTCGTTCAGCCATAAATTGCTCTTCTTCTATCTTACGTTGGAAGCGTGATCCATCTTCCAGATATTGAATTTTTTGCAGAGCTTCTTCGTGTTGAGTTTCTCGAATAATCGACGACCTAGTCTGGACGTTTAAGCATATCGCATTCACGGCTTCACCTAAATTGTTAGTAACGCGGCATGTGTATTCACCGCTGTCCTCAGAATAGACGGTCAGAATGTCAAGAGCAGAAAATCCGAAATCGTAAGTGGTACGAAAACGGTGCCCTGTACTCAATGGTTTGCCATTATGAAACCATTCAACTTTTAAGTTAGGGTCCGGATATGGTTCGATGCGGCATTCGTAGTGAGCGCTTTGCCCTTCCACTAAGTTAGTAGGGCCAATCAATTTGGTCACAAAACGTGGTGGTTGCGTAACCACGTAATCTTCTTCTTCATATCGTTGATAACGGGTGTGATCCTCTAATTGGTGAATTTTATGCATAGCAGCTTCGTGTTGTGTTTCCATTTGAATGGCCGTTTTTGACTGAACAATAAGAGAGGCAGAAGTGACAGCTTGACCAAGTTCGTTTATAGCACGACAAGTGTAAGTGCCTGAGTCTTCAGGATTCACATATTTCATATTTAAGGCCACATAGCCAAAGTCATGCATCGTGGTTATGCGATTAGAAGCTTCAAGAGGTTGCCCATTTCTTAACCATTCAACCTTCAAGTTAGGATCGCCAACAGGAATTAAACGAGCTTCAAAATGTACTGCTTGACCTTCTGCCACACGAGAATCGCGAACTGGCATCGTAAACACAGGAGCTTGAGTTATAAGTTCTTCCTGAACACTCATACGTTGCCGTTTCGCTGTTGAATCTTCCAAATGTTGTAAACGAGGCAAGGCACTCTCATGTTGAGATTCTGAATAAATAGATTTTTTAGTGTGAACAACAGCCACGGCTGAAGTAATTGCCTCTCCTACAGCATTGTAGGCACGGCACGTATAACTGCCAGCATCTTCCGGCAGGCAAGACATAATGTCTAATGCGACAAAACCAAAGTTATTGGTTTCAGTGAAGCGTGAACCTGATTTTAGAGGCATATTATTGTGATACCATTCCACACGCATTGTTGGGTCCGAAACTGGGATTAGACGACATTCAAAATGAGCACGTTGATTTTCTTTAATTTCAATATTCTTCAGGGAAGTAGTAAAAACTGGTGCTTGTTTAGTTGTTTCATCTACTTCCTCACGACGGGAATAGCGGGAACGATCCTCTAAGTAATGAATTTGCTCTAGGCCGGCCTCATTTTGAGTAATTGTCACAATTTGTTCTGAACTACGACATATTAATTCAACTTGTGTTTCATCAGATCCAATCAAGTTTACGGCACGGCAAGTATAAACTCCAGAATCTTCAGCAATCAGATCAACAATGTCGAGTGCTACATAACCAAAGTCGTGAATGGGACGGAAACGATGTCCAATGGTGATGGGACGACCATTTTTGAACCACTCAACTTTAAGATTAGGGTCCGTAACAGGTTCTATTTTACATTCAAAGTGAGCATGTCCGCCTTCACGCATGTTAGTTAAACTTTTTGGATGTGTGAGAAAACGAGGACGAATGTTAACGATTTCGTCAACATACTCGTTTCGGCGATAACGTGAAGAATCTTCAAGATACGCAATTTTTTGTAGCCCGGATTCATTTTGAGTTTCTAAAATTAAATCATTTTTGGCGATGATACGCACAGCACATGAGGTTACGGCTTCACCCAATTGATTTCGAGCTTGGCAGGTGTAAACACCAGAATCGACAGCATAGCATCCTAATAAATCAAGAGCTACGTAATCGAATTCATAGGCTGGACGAAAGCGATGTCCGGTTTTAACTGGTTGACCATTTACAAACCATTCAACACGCATCGTTGGATCTCCTACTGGTTGCAAGCGACATTCCAAATGTACGTTGGTGCCCTCCATAGTTTCAATATTATGCAATGGACGGGTAAACTGTGGAGCTTGCATAATTGTAATGTCTTCTTCAATGTGCTGACGGCGACGTGAAGCATCTTCTAGCTGCTGAATTTGTTCCAAGGACATTTCATTTTGCGTTTCGGTAACAATATCCGAGCGATCAATAACGCGCACACATGCCGACGTATGAGCAGAACCCAAATGATTAGTTGCACGGCACGTGTATTCACCAGAATCGACTGCTGTAGCTTGAACAATATCTAAAGCCACAAAACCAAAGTCATAGTAAGTACGGAAACGTGAACCAACAGTTATAGGGTGACCATTATGGAACCACTCTACGCGCATAGTTGGATCTCCCATTGGTTCTAAACGGCATTCTAGATGGATGTTTTTGCCTTCGTGGATTGGTTTGGGATCCGAAAGGGGTTGAACAAATATGGGCTTTGATTTAGAAATTTCTTCAATGTCATATTGAGGTTCCACAAATTGTTTGGATTCCAAGTGCTGCGTCTTCTCGTAGAGACCACGATGCATACTAGATGTGTCAATGCTGGAACGAGCTAATATATAAAGTCAAATATTACAAAATTGTTTCGCCTCCTTTTTGCATTCAAAATTCGACAAACAGTGTACTTACTTTCTACTACCATAGTTCCTTGTAACTGAGCTTCACCTAGTTTGTTTCTGGCGACAACTGTATAGACACCTGCATCTTCCGCGCGAACTTGGGATATATCTAAAGCTACGTAACCAAAATCGTAATAGGTTTGTATGCGATTAGCAGCGGTTATTGCACGTCCATTATGGTACCATTCGATTTTCAAGCTTAAGTCACTTTGAGGCTCGACGCGTGCCTCAAAATGGGCTCGTTGGCCTTCCAAAATTTTGTTAGTGCATTTCATAGGCCCTAAAAAGCGTGGCATTTGAGTTATATTAGTTTCTTCCTCCTCCGAGCGAACATAACGTGAGGAATCCTCCAAATTCTGTATTTTTTGTAATCCGTCCGGATGCTGAGAGTCGGAAACGATTTCTTTTTTCGAGATGACTGTCAGTTGCGCAGTGGTGGCATCTTCTCCCATAGAATTATAAGCTCGGCAAGTATAGATGCCAGCATCGTAAATCGTTAGTTGTTTAATGGTCAGAGCCACGTATCCAAAGTTAAAGAACGTGGTGCTACGGGAACTTGCTTCTAGAGGCTGACCATCTTTATACCATTCAACTTGCATAGTGGCATCTCCTGTGGGCTCTAACCGAGCTTCAAAATGAGCATGACCGCCTTCATGCGTATCAAGTTGATGTTGTATTTGGGATTTAAACTGGGGCGGAGCTATTGGCTCAGGAACTTCTTGGATGTGCCGCCGCTGCTGAGCTTTTCGATAGTCTTCCAATTCTTCAACTTTTTCTATATAACGTTGTTGCTCGGGAATACCTAGCTCAGTCGTTACTTGAGATCTTGAATGCACGCGAATTGTTGAAGAGCTAACTGCCTCACCAGCGCGATTAACAGCACGCACAGTATAAGTGCCAGCGTCTTCAGAGCGTAAGTGCATTATATTTAACGAGACATAGCCAAAATTGAAAATAGCCGTAATGCGAGAACTAGCAGTTATTGGACGACCATCTTTATACCATTCAACCCGCATCTTGGGATCATTAACAGGAGTAAGTTGAGCTTCAAAATGGGCATTTTTTCCTTCCTCAAATTCACCCATGTCCTGAAGCAGTGGCCGAATAAAGACAGGCGGTTGATTTGTAAGCTCTTCAATGCTTTCGTGGCGTTGATAACGAGAATAATCTTCCAAATGACTAATATATTGCAAACTGCTTGGATGCTGCGACGTTTGCTCAATGGACGGACGTTGAGTTACTGCAAGTGTGGAACGCGACTCAGCCATTCCAGTAGCGTTGGTAACGCGGCATAAATATTCACCGGCATCGTGATCTACTATACTCAACAAATCCAAAGCAATAAAACCGAATTTAAAAACAGAAGTAGCACGAGCACCTAGCCAAAGTTTGAAACGTTATTTAAGTATCTCTTGGAATAGATCTATGTAAACTTACTTGCTGCTAGAGGATGACCATTAAAAAACCATTCAACAATCATACTTGGATCACCAACAGGTTCAATGCGAGCTTCCATGTGAACTTTGCCACCTTCAACTTGTTGAACATTTTGTAGCGGTATAATAAATTGTGGAGGTGGGTAGACACGTTCTTCTTCTCCTGGACGTAAATGTGGCTTGGCACGTTCAACATGACGCAAATATATAATTTCTGGCCCGGGTTGAGGTCTATAGATGAACACAGATATCCTATTTATTCAAAATTTCTGTGATAAAAAGATAATAGGTCTTAACTTACTCCGGTTCTATAATCCTAGTAGGTCTGGGCAAGTTAAGACGTTTTTGTTCAACTGGTGGTTGTTCTCTAGGTACTTCTACATAGAGTCTAGCCCGATTGGCAGTTGATCCGGCAATATTTTGCGCAGTACATTGGTACCAGCCAGCGTCGAAGGCTTTGGCCCGTGGAATTTCCAAACAGGTTGCGCCTCCATCAATGCCAATGAAGCGATCAGCCGTTGAAGATATTTGTACACCATCTTTTTGCCAGGTGATGCGGGGCATCGGTGTACCAATAGCATTGGCACTCATAGTGATGGGTTCACCTTCGCGTACAGTCATTGTGCTGAAGCGTTGAACAAATTTTGGTGCGACAACTTGTTCCTTCTCTAGCACACTTAACTGAGCTTCGATGGTGATCTCACCAGCTTTGTTACGTGCCAAACATTGTACAGCTCCGGCATCTAGACGACTTACATTGGTAATCATTAGTGAGTGGCTGCCAGATTCATTGACAAGAATTTTATGAGATGCATCGTCGTTGATCTGACGACCATTTATAAACCAATAGACTTCAGGGTAAGGATTGCCTGTAACGCGACAATCAAAACGAGTCATTCGGCCTTCGGTGATCTCCCGATCGCCATAGGTTTTAATAAAAGTGGGAGGCAACGCTTTGCCAGCCTCTAGTTGTTCAGCCATTGCATCAACTTGTTTTGGTTCATGAGCCGTTTCTGCAGCAGGCTCCACCGCCAACACAGCTGAAGACACAACACAGCCCTGAGTATTTTCGACGAGTAGAGTATAATGACCGGCATCTTTATGCGTAGCTTTCTTTACGCGTAATGTAGCTATGCCACTTGAATATGAAATTTCATATTTATTAGAGGTTAAAAGACGCTGACCGTTATGGAACCAAGTCAAGCGGGGTTTTGGGTTTGAACCGACTTTTGCAGAGAAAATTGCGTCGGAACCTTCAACTAACTTTGAGTTACGTGGTTTCTGTGCAATTTGTGGTGCTTGAGCAGGACCCATAGAATGATCAAGTTCTTGGCTGAGATAATAATCTTGCTCGTAGGTCGCACGACGTGTAATAGCTTCCCTGAAGGACACTTCACGTAACAACCTATATTCAAAAGTGTCTACACGAAATTCTTCTTCGATCGAAGTAAACGAATAACCATTCGTATAAACGTTTTTATCTAATCTCTGAACTGGCTGGATGGCAGGCATTTGTGAGCCTTCTGGTTGAATGTAAACACTGCAAATCGCTTCGCCATATTGATTGCGAGCAGTGCAAGTGTATTCTCCTTCATCGCCGGGTCCAATTTGATTTATCAGTAGCGATACCTCACCGGTGGCCTCATTATAGCTCATGCGAAACTTTTGAGATTCGAGAAGTGGTGCGCCTTTTCGAGTCCAAGTAACGAATGGCCTTGGATTGCCACGAAGTTTGCCTTCAAATAGGGCATTGCCGCCTTGAGCGAATCGAGCATTCTTAAAGATTTGCTCAAATACGGGCGGTGAAATATCGCCTTGAGCGTAGATATGTGTTAAGGCTGGCTGGATGTAGGTCATGCCGCCATGTTGTTCAACTGGAGAAGAAGAGACAAGCCAAAGAAAAAATATTATTTTTCTAACATGATTAAACCAGTATCCAAAAAAATTGTATTTTTCTTAATTGTTATTCTCAAAATGACAGGCTTATTTATCTTGTATGTTTGCGAATATAATAAAAAACTGCATACCTTAACGTACATATCTTGTATGATCTCAGTATAATTGAATTAGTATGATAACTGATAGATTTATTTTGCAATTTTGATTAACATTCCTTACACATATTTTATGAATCTTAGTTTTCTGTTAAAAGATAAGACTGAATTAATGAAATTTATCTTATCTTTTTTTTGTCTTCGAGATAATTTATGATATTAAAAGATTTTGTTTACAGAAATAGTCAAAACACAATGCTTCTCAAAAATTTTACTGTTATAAATATTATTGTGGGACAAGTAGAATGCACGGTGCACGAGACTTACATAATTATTAAAATTTAAATATTATTTTAAATAGGTTGAAGTATTTCTGACATGATTGTAACGGTTTTTTTACATTCTCCATAAGTAACGATAGTTTACAATTTTAAAGAAGACAATCCACAGATTGCTTTCGATACTTTTAATTTTTGAAACTTATGATTATGGGATCTTGCATTTTAATTACAAAGTTCGTTCATACCATCGTCTTTAAATTTAAAGACATCGTCTTCATATAGTTCGCATAAAACCTGTCATTCCGTTATTATTCCATTAAATCTTTTAAACACATGCATACATTTATGTGAGCTTAATTGTCACATAAATTACATTAGAATTTTATAGAAAAGTGCATAAATATATTCCATTCATTGTATTTCTATATACCCAAATATAACAAAATATAATTTAAGTTGTGCTTTAGAAAAGTTATTAATCTCTATTGAGGACATTTGGCTATACTTTTTGTGCCATCCATTTTTAACCAAATTGTCTTTTTAATGTTTTTATAAAAACTTTGAGTTTATATTACTTTTTGAAGCAAAGTGCAAAGTTTAGAGCAACATGATGGCTACGACAGCTGGCAAGCATCTCAGAGTGTATAAGCAAATAATTTTCTCAGATATTTTACAATTTTTTCGAATAGTTTTGATTAAAATCCCTGATTTAAATTAAGCACATTTTTAATTATGAAACATTCCGAAATGGAACAGTAAAACCTGAATCATGGGATAAGGTTTCGCAGCTATCCGGCAAATTTTACAGGAGAAACATTTCGTGTAAGGCTGTTCTTGAGGATATTAAAATATCCGATCAGTAAAGCTGTTAGCCCTCGTCTACCATTTCTTGGTGAAGGAAAATTTTAGTAGCTAATAAGTCGCCTAAGTACTAGAAAAGTTCCCAATATCTATGATAGAGCAACATTGATTATAAGTGCAAGAATAGTATGAACGTCGACATATGCCGGCAAACCGCCGCTGTTAGAAAATAAATAAAGAGAACGATATTCGTATTAAGCGGATTCTTGAAAAATTAAAGAAAATAATAAAAGAAATTTCGATGGCGTTTAGCCAGCTAAGTAATTCTGCATGTGCATATATTACTGTCATAGGGTTTCTCTATCACAAAAAATAGTCGCCATCATTTTATCAGTCGTAGAAATAATCTTTGTGTATCCATGGTTCATCTACAATAATCGATAGGCGAATAAATGCTAGTTTATTTCGCCTAAACTATCAATCTAAACAATCTAAGCAGTATACAATGTGCGATTAGCTTTCTAATGTCTAAACTTTCGAAAAATATGTGACAAACACGTTCTTTGCTCACGCTAATAGCCTCTACCATCATGTTCTTGTCGATGGTGACAGTTATTGGCCGGCCCGTACGTTCTGGTACGGGCCGTTCTCAGTACTGTTGTCTTTCAATTCACTTAACTAAAACTTCAGTACAGTAAATAATGGTAAACGATTCTCCTGTGCAGAGTCCCGCTCGTTTTTTATCGGTCTATTGCATTTCTAAAGGAAATGCTTAATTACAGCTCAATATAGAATTTAATATGTGTTCACAAAAACACTTATATCAATGTACTTAAACAACTGCAAAACAACAAAAGCACGTTCAAAATTCATGAGCAGTGCTATCATTTTCACATCGGGATCTTTGTAAACAAAGTACGTACATGGCAGCGCAATAGCTAATACAATTAAAGGCTATAAGAAGAGGCGTTACTACTGCAGATATCGCCAATTTTAAGCCCTCCACCACTATTTGTAACATTGATAATGAAAATATCAAAAATTTCACAAATTCCTCGAATAATACTCGGTTATGTCGCGATAAGTCATTGATCTCCTGGATCTAAGAAAATACTTTTAGATAGCAATTGCGATTTTTCGTAAATGCAATCGTTTTTGTTTATGTATACATACTTATGGGTTAAACACTAGGCAAGTCGAAATGCTAATTGGTCAGTTTAAACAAAGTTCAAACATATTAACAAAAACGCTCTTAGCTGGAGAATATTTTCTCCTTTTCGTAAATATCACGCATTTTTTAATCCCATTGATAAATAAAAACGAATAGCAAACGAATTAATTAGAGACGAAACGTGAGAAATAGCGAGAAGCTTAGTATTTTCTCAATATTAGGTTCCCAGAGGTGTTACAAAATTACAACAATTTATTACACCTTTCGGCACAGTTACAGAGGCGAAGAAAAGTTCATTATTTCAAGATATCAAGAGATAATATCGAATAATTATTAAAACACTATAAATCTTCAGGGTGAAAATTATCCAGAGATACCATGGTCACAAAAAAGTATGCGATTATTATTGTACATTTGCTTGATATGCTAGATGTTCAAGGTTCATCCTAAACTGAATTTAGTTGTCTTTTCTGTTAACTAATCAAGCTGTTTTGGATATATGGTTTGGACGCCTACGCGAACTATGATTAAAACGACATCATCGAGCGTGTTAATGTATCATCTTGTAAATAATAGAAAGCACATCAGTTTGTATTGCTTTGAAACACAAAATAATTCTAAATCCGCGGGTGTGAACTATTCTGTGCAGAGCAATACTGATCCACCCACACATACGGACGCATATACGCACACACACGCACACACACATGATTCGCTTGCGAAATTCGTTAAGTTCAAAGCAAAAAATTTCAGAAGAAGGAGAATATGATTTACTCTCTCACATGCACTACACTGAGAGAGACACTGACCTCTTTGCTGAGTGGTAACTTGACTCCTTTGTACATGATGTTCTGTGCGGCTAATCCTTTGTTGTTGATGCATTTCTTGATGTTGCATCGTGGAAAATTGTTGTTGTGTTGCTTGAAATTGTTGTTGAATTTGTTGTTCTTGCATTTGTTGTTGTTGTTGTTGTTGTTGTTGCTGCTGCTGCTGCTGCTGCTGCTGCTGCTGTTGCAGCCACGGTTGATTCGTAGTTTTTCGTTGCATTTTTTAAGAAATTTCGTTATATAACACAACACTACCACCAAAGGGCATTTAAATAGTTAGAAACTATTGATAAAGCAAAGCTAAAGAAGCTTTTCAAAAGCAAGCTCTAAAATTTCAAAAAATTGGCTATTGTTATTATTTGTATCCTTTTAACTTTTTCTCTAAATGAAACAAAAATTTTTTTCCGCTACAAAACTGAAAAAAAAAAAAAACAAAAATACAAAAGAAGAAATTGGTTTTGTTTCTTAGTGTAAACAATAACATTATTTGCTATTGGATTTTTGTTTTTAAAATTATATTTTTGTTTTTTGTTGATGCTCTCTATTTATTTTCATTTGTTGGCTTTTTTTAATTGGGCTTTGCGTTTTAAGTACTGATATCATTTATCGTGATTTATGTTTACATTTTTATTTACATATTTTATTTATTTCGTTATTGTCTACTAACGAAGAACAAGGTTAACGTAGTTTGTTCCATACCGTTGACAACATTGAACACTATATAAAGTTCATACGAACTTATGATCAAAATAAAGCTTTGATTTGATTTGTATATGTCGGTTAGTCCTTCGGAAACCCTTAACTCTTGAAACACTTAAGATAGTAGAAACAAGAAGATGGTTGAAGCTTAATCCCTACTTGTACTTTGTATATGTTTAATTCTACAGTTTATAAATATGTTTGATTTGCTTCGATACATGTAAGCAGTAGCTAGAAAATTGGCCAAAAAAATATATAGAAATATGAACACTACATCCCAATAGTATTGAAAATAAATGAACATTTATAGAAAATATTAATTGAAATTTTGTGTAAGTATTCACCAGGGCCGTCTGAAGATACGATCCAAGCGCATTCAAAATGCTCCCAAGTATAGAAATATTTTACAAGTTTTTTAAGCGATAGTGACGCGAAGTATGTGCCCCCAAGGCTAAGATAACTCTCTTCTTATTTTTCGTGCAATCGTTTTGAAAAAATCTTTAGGTTTCGTTGCGTTTTTAAAAATGTTGAAGTATAGTTTTCTTTTTTTAATTCATATGTGAATTAATTATTTGCAAATTTCTTTAAATGTTTGTATAAATCCCTTTTAGTTTTTCTCTTTCTCTCTCTTTATCTCCCCCTCTCTTTCATTTTTTCCTCTCTCCCGCTCTCACACACAAATAGATAGGGAAGGTGAACATTAAAGCGTCAAATACACTATACTCACTAACTTATTCACTCACTCACTCACTTACTCACTCACTCACTCATTCACTATCAGGTATATATACACTACTTTATTTTCAAAATCTATTTTTAAGTTCTGAAAACTTGAATAGCACGAAAATATTCAATTTCTTTTTTTAAACGATGATCCTCATAGTGCTTCTCCTACGCTGAGTTTTTTTTTTTTTTTTCTGAATCATTCTGAATCATTTTTTTTTTGAAAATTTGTAACGTGTCTAGCTGTTTACTATATGTTTTTGTTTTTTTTTTTTTTCTTCCTAATTTACTTTTATTTGAATATTAAGATGACATTATCCTTGTTAGACTCTGCTTAATCCTGGACGGCATAAGTTTAGCAAGGATAATGTTATACTTTAAATTAGTTCGTTTTTGTGTCTTTTAGAAGCTTTTATAACGGTTTAGTTATAACTGAAATTTATTAAACCGCCAACGAATCGCCGATTCACCTATGAATTATCTCAACGTCGTAAAAATCTTTTTTTAGCTATTCAGCAAAAAAGAAGAACGGACACATTTTTCGTTTCAGCACTTGTTACGAAATCAATTTGAAATTATTTTTGAAGCATTCCTTATATGAAAATTTCATTTATTACTTCTTACTTTCACTTTTTATCCTTTGAAATCGTTTACACTTTTTTATTATCTTTTACTTTTTTATTTATTTATTTTTTTCTTTTTTTTTATATAAAACTCTATGTATATACTAGATATTCTACATATATATCTTATATATATTTCAAAATTTTTTATTTTCTTTTTTTTTTTTGAATTGGTTCAAGTCAAAAATCCCCGAGACTGAAACCAAGACGTCGATCGTTTTTAAAGTGCGAGCGAAGAATGATACAAAATTCTTTGATGATTGTACAAGCAGCTCATGCATGAGATAAAAATTCAGATAACGAGAGCATATATGCATCACTTCGCTATTAATCGTTAGTGTTCGTTAAGATATTTTTAAATTTCCTATACATTTTGTTTTTGTCCAAAAAATTTGTTTGAGTATTCAAACAGGATGATCTCTTTCAAGGAAAATCATTGCGTCTTTTAAAAAATTAAAATATTAAAAAAAAAAAAAAAAAAAATTAATTTATTAAAAACTTCTTTAAAGTATAGTCTTTAGAGTTTTTTCTTTTTTTTTTTTTAATGAATGCATTCTTTTTCTTCTCTTTAAATGATTCTATTCGGTCGCTCCTCAACACTTACAAAGGATGGATTTGCTAAACGTTGATTTCTCTTTTCATAATCATCATTAACGTGATTGAATGTATATTTAAAGTAAATTGATTTTATCAAAGTGCACGTACGTATGTATATACGTTCGTCTCTTTGGTGATTGATAGATATCTTCTTAGACTTAACGCGATGTAAATAAAACAAATATAGATAGATACTGAATATTAGAAGGAATTGTCTATTCATCATCATATTCCATCGCCTTTACGAAAGGTATTTCCAATATACTGTTATATCTATGGATAAAACTATGTCAAGATATTTATTTATGCAATTTCAAATCATCAGTTTGCATCCTACATGGGAGGGTACTCAAAATGCGCTTTAAAGCTAATAAATGTTTTCGCATTTTTTCTCTTGTTCTCTTTAGGGATAAAGCTTCGTGTGGTATCGTTTGTGTATCGTGTGTGAGTTGGAAAACTAAAAATAAATGTTGATTTATTTTTGACAAGTATTTTTCAACATTGCACAGTATTAAAGAAAATTTTGTATTTTCAAAAATGAAGAAAAAAAGAAATTCTTTCGTAGTGAAATGACAATAAAGTCTTGACTTAACGAATACTCTAACAATTTTCATCAATTCTGTATTTTAAAAGGATTACATTACGAAAACCTTATGTATTCATCATTGATAATGAACAAATTATAAAAGAATTTGGCTTAGAAATTTTTCAAATTTTCAAAATTATTTGAGATGAGGTGAGTTTTTATGTCCATTAGAGATGGATAAAGGTATACTTATGTCGCCCGTTCATATTTCCCATCAAGATATAAGTTCTTCACAAACTTATAGATAGTATTTGGAAATAGTTATTCTGGTGCTTCGCGTTGCGTGGTGTTTCCATTGTCTATCTTTTTTTGCTTTTATTCTCCGAATTTTCTTTTCAATCGTTTTTCGTTCCGTCTGTGCTTAATTATTTTCGGCTTTTTTTTTTTAATCCTTTGCTCTTTTGTAACTTCTTTAGTCTGTTCTTTTTTTTTTTTTTTTTTTCATTCTTTTACACTTAGAACAATCATCAATTAATATCACTTGTAAGACTGCCATGAAAGTCAACTTGATCGTCTTATTAATCCGCCAATGTTTAAAAAAAAAAAAAATATCAATTTTCTTTAGATATTCAAATCAAATTTTGAGACCTACATATATACATTCATATTAGTGTGTTCAAATTATTTAGTCAACATTTCAATGATTGCTGCTCAAAAAAAAAAGAACAACATAAGAAAGCTGTACTCGTGTTAGTTTACCCACATGAAACTATGAATTCAATCAGGACAGGATTGAATTGGGTTGTCTGTATACGGAAAGGGCGACTTTTAAGATTTTTAAAGCTTTCGGCGGTATAAAGCAAAGTTTCAAACCCTATTTCCTTCTGTGGGTCTTTAGTTAATATTCATAATCGGATTATACTGTATATTTTCGACTAAATATATGGCCGCAATGCTTCTTTCCGTTAAGTTTCAAGGGCTCTACTGTGCATTTTGCTTGAATTTAAGAATAAACCATATTTTCCTCTCAAACATAAAAAAAAACGAATAATTTACAAGAAAAAAAAAATTTTCTTTATTTTAATTTTCTCATATATTTATAAATTATATTCTTTTTTGATATCTCTCTGTCTTATTGCAATAAAATGTAGGAGTTATTATCATAAGCTACGAATTTCGCAGCATACGAAGACCTTTTTATTACAATAACCCATTAAAAAAAGATTGCTATTCTTTTCTATTTGATATCTGAAACAATGTTTATGCACTTATCCACGGTTTTCCTTGAAGGTTTTTTCCTTTGCCGTAGACTACAGGAGAGACAGACTTATCTTCTTAGAACTATCATCCAGAACTATCATCCAGAGCATCATATAATGTTTGTCATTTTACAACATGGATTGTTTAACAACCGTTGAACGTGTTGAAAGTGTAAAAACTCACTACGAAAATACTGATTCTATATATCGTGTATTACGAGCGGAGGAAGGAAATTTGACGAAACTACATTCGTAGCAGATTTATTGAGGCCACACATTATCGAAACGCACGCTCGACCGAAAATATAGGTGTTGTTAAAGAAAGTGTTTAAGAAGATGCAAATTTATCCATTACACGGTGCGCACATCATCGGGCCTTTTTACGTAAGGTGCGTAAAAGACATATTCATTTGGTGCGTTTGAATCGAATTTTCTTCAGTGATGAGCCTCATTTTATGCTTAGTAGACATATCAACAAGTAAAATTGTCACATTTGGGGTAATGAAAATCCTTAAATAATTGTCGAAAAACCTTTGCTTTCCCGAAAATTCAGCGTATGACATGGCACTTGGTTTGACAGGTATGGTGGTCCGTTATTTGACGAGAATGTGACACAAATCTTCAATTCGGATCGCTACAGCCACATGATTAACAAGATAGAGATGCTGAGGATATGCGATGCCACAAGCCTTATCCCGCTTTGGCATTGTTGCGTGAGCTATTTCCCGGACGTGTAATTTCCTTTTTTTTGCGATGTGAATAGATGTGAGCTATTGCCTGCTACATGCAGACAGATCATTGAAAAAGTAGCCCAAAAATAGCTAGTCCTGTACAACGTCCCGTGAAGGACATTTGAAAGACGTTGTATTCCATAAATAATGTCAAGGATCAAGCTACGTATTGAAAAAATGTTTGATCCAAATTTCAATCAGAAGTCTGTTCAATTTAAATTTACTTTCGAAACCATACAACCGAT